ATTTTATACGTTACTGTAGACATTTGCAAACTTAATAGCATAATTATCCAAAAATCAACTAAAATACTTCATGTATAAAAAAAGATATTTATGAGAAAGAAAAATACTCAAATTATGAAGTTTTTCTGTTATAAATGGAAGTTGTCGTTTTTGTTTCCGGTGGGACTGATATATTTCGGAACTACAAATAAGATGCTATAATGTGATGCATAAAAAGTTTCAAAAAAGAAAAGTTGAAATTTTCGATTACTTAGATCACTTCCTGTGACGACCGGAAGTGATGGCAGACAATCTTATCCCAAATGGTTTAGCCTACTTATCAAGATCTATTACTCATTTAAGTTTGGTGTCTTAATCTCTTACCATTTATGAGATATGACTCGGACAAAACTTTTTTGAAAAAAACGACAAATCGAGCATATCTGACGACTGGAAGTGAAATTTGACAAACTGTAAACTGCATTTAAAAGATATTTTTACTCTGTATCATCCCTGAAAATTTCATGAAAATCTGCCCAGCCAACTCTGAGAAATCGTCGAAACAAAAAGGGGAAAAAATAAGAAGAAACGGAAGACCTTAATATTAAGAAGAAACCGAGGTAAAACAATATGTTCCCCAACTTCGTTTGGGGAACATAATTACAGTGAATACGACAATGTGGAATCTTAAGGTTAATATTCAAAAGACAAAAATAATTATTTTCAGAAATGGTGGTAAAATTAGAGAGAATGAAAAATGGACTTATGGTTACGATATAGTTGATATTGTTGACGATTTTAATTACATGTATCTTGGAATGTTATTTAATTACAACGGAAAATTTTTGAAAACTCAAAAACACGCCCCAGAGCAAGGTAGAAAAGCTTCATTTGCTATTTCTAATTCATTAAAAGCACATGCATTAAATGTTGAAACACAGTTATCTGTTTTTGATACTTACGTAAGTAGTGCACTTTTATAAACATCAGAGGTATTGGGATGTACCAGGGGTAAATCTTATGAGGGCATTAAGATTATCAATTACTGTTTTAAACTTTCTTTAAATGGTTAGTACATTCGTCTCAATCAATCTTTAAAACAATCAAAGCGGATCAAGACTATTTTTTTTTTCGATTTTTTGTTGAATTTTATAATCAAATAAAATTGAGTATAATTGATTTCCGTGTTTATACAAGTAAAAAATGTACGCAACAAAAACCCTTGTGTTTTTAAACAAGAAGGTAAGCGTATTTATTTATATTTTGTTGGTTTTGTTAATCATCTATGAAGCTGAACATCGCAAAAAATATTTTTTTTACATCTCGAATTTTGATACTTTACAAGATATGCGATGGGAATATATATAATAACTTATAATAATATCTGTAAGAGTGGGGAGGGGTCCTTTAAAAATTTGCCGATGGAAGAAAAATATGGATATTATACGAGCAGTATTCAAGCTCAAAAGTCTGTTCATACATTACGAATCGGGAGTAGAGAAAACGTGGACCTCAAAAACACCAGAAGTAGGATCAAGTGCCATGGAAAAGCCCAACCCAATGAACGATATATGCACGATATACGACTGGATAATGAAGACACAAAACCCGATATGAATCCTTAAATAAAGCAGAAGACTACAAAATTGAAATTACGATATATGGCAGTCGATTTAAGTTAAACTTGACGATAAAATTATGTTTCATTTAATTTTATACATGTTTGTAACTAATGAAGAGAAAGTTTTGTTATTGTTTTATATTCAGTTACATCTTTGATAATTGAATTATTTTCAATTCATTTGCAAATCATTACGTACATAAATAATTCAATCTACTTAGTGGTAATTCTTTTTTGTAAATAATAACGAAATATTCCTTGAAAAAAAATAAATCAACATAATTTTGTTTCTCTTTATATATTTTTCTGTTTGTGTGGTTTTTTTTTTATTTATTTAAGAAAAGATTTGAATAACTTGAGAAATGCATCGCTTCCTTTCCAATATTAAAAATACATTGTATACAGTGTATATATTTCGGGCATAAAATTTTGCTTTTGTTTTATGATACTGTTAAATTTTTTTTAATATATAATACATGTACATACAAATGTAGACATCCTAGAAAGCACTGAACAGGCATTGCTGAAATTTAATTCCCAACACAAGGTCTAACATCTGGGAAAGTACTTTTAGTTCAAAAAAAATTTATGAAAGTACTTTTCTTTTCTTTTGACTATTGGAGGGGGATTCGATCATTTCTGATCTGTTTTGCAATGTAAATCATAAGCACGACTGACTGCTATTAATTTCCAAAAGAAAATATTGGAAGACTAAAACTTTAAACTGATAGACTAAAACGTGGAGGTGGGTTAATATTTTTGAAAAGAATACCGGGGTAATTTATTTTGATATAATGTGGAATGAATATTAAGGTTGTTGTATCACTAACACAAATTCAATCTATAAATACTAGGGAAAAATAAAAGACCTTAATAAAAGCCATGAAAAAAAACGAACCTGTTCTTTTTCATAGTTTAAGGTCTATAGTTTTAATCATTCTTTACGGCTCAATACATTTTGAAATGATAAATCAAGTTGATCATTTAAAATCCAAATTCATCGAATCAGGATAATCTTTCCTTGCTTTGTGCGCCATTGAACCATATCAACATTACATCTGCACTTTAAAATGACACAGAAATATGTTTTGATGCTTCGTATGGAATCCGGATAGGGCCACGCAGTTCACTATCGCATCGTCGCACCATCGAGGTTTAGATCGATATTGCGATGAAGGCATAATGCGATGACGATAAAGCCATGGTGCGATAACGATGAAGCGCTGTTGCGATAGCGCGATGACGATGATGCGATGGCGCGACAATGCAATGACGATGGTGCGATAGAACGATGGAGCAATAGCGCGATGAGGCGTTGGTGCGATGCTGATGACACGATGGTGCCATGACGATGGTGCGATAGTACGATGACGATGAAGTGATATTTACAATCGCTCCATCGGGCTATCGCACCATCGTCGTCGCATTAGATCGCGCCATCGCATTATCGTAATCGCGCTATCGCTTCATCGTTATCGCACAATCGCTTCATCGTTATCGCATTATCGCAATATCGCGCCATTGACCTTTAAGTCGATGCTTGATGGTGCGATAGTAAACTGAATGGCCCTATCCGGATTCCATAGCTTCATGATCCAATGATATTCATACAGTCCGCGTATTACTAGTTTGGTGGGTTTTAACCCCCGCATACATAACAAAGGTCATTATTTTTAATAAATGACAGGTAAGAATATCGCTTTTTTCATTTTATTCTCGTGTTAGTTTTTGTGCTTCCAAATTTTCTAATTTTCAGTCAAAAATTAAAACTATGAAATCTATATCATTTATTTATATAAAATTTATTCATTATCAGTTTTGGAAAAAGAGGGGAGAATAAAATTTCGATGTCAAATTTGTTTCATGAACAAAACAGATGTATATCTGTGTTCAAATTTAAACTATGAAACTATCTTTCACTTGATTGTCTCAAGAAATTTATTTGCACATGTCTATGTTTATAAATGCTGAAGTCTGCGTCAACCAAAACAATTTTTGAAAACGCTCTCTGTTATCTTTTTCATTGCTTTGTTAAATTTCACAGGTTTTTTTATAAAATCCTTTAAAAGACAAAAATTAAGTCAAAGCGTAAAAACAGATACCATTTTAAAATACGTTCATGGTTTAGATAAAAGACGAGAAAGGCAGTGTTGAATTTCAAGGCAAGAAAAGAACATGGCGGCAAAGAACATCATGATGAGCTTTCAGTTGTACGAGGGGATCCGAATGGATGATGGTAAGCACATGATGTATGCAAGAACTGATACATTAACTGGTTAAAGAAACTGCAATGATACTAGTATACAGCCTTATTAAAATGGAGAATCTGATGTGGTTAATTCTAGTACCATTTTGAACTATTTTAAAAGAAAAGATTTCAAAACTTTAACAACTCTCTCTCTCTCTCTCTCTCTCTCTCTCTCTCTCTCTCTCTCTCTCTCTCTCTCTCTCTCTCTCTCTCTCTCTCTCTCTCTCTCTCTCTCTCTCTCTCTCTCTCTCTCTCTCTCTCTCTCTCTCTCTCTCTCTCTGGATTGAGGATGGATTTTAACTTTACTCCCTAACTCCCACATTTTAAAGATTTTTTTCTTGTCCTCCTTGAAGGTGTATTAGAGACATTGAGAGCCATCCCTAGCCTGTGTTTGGATGGAGAGTTGAACTGCATGGAGAATAGTCCCTCCTCATTGGGTGGCCGTGTTCTGTTATCGACTAATCGAAAGGGAAGGTAAAGACGTTCAATTGTATCAATTGCTTATAGTAAACAGGAAAATCGGGGGAGATTCATCTGAGAATGAAAATATATCTACGTGATTGTAATTCTAGAGGAAGGGGATTTACATAGAGCTACTTGTATATTAGGCCCACAATATAGATGTTAGGGCTGATTTCAATAGACCTGACGGATTACGCTGTTTGTGCTAACGCTTTGCTTGTCTAGAGGTTTAAATACTACGTCACATATTCACCACATCAAAGGAAGTAGCCGTGATCGCTTCTCTCCCACGCTAAAGTCGGTCAACTGCAATACACATCGTTCAAATTAATTTTGAACACATTGGCGACGGTAGCTGACACTAAATTGTTAAGGAAAATAAGTACAGAAATGAGTCATTATGAAGCTTTTCTGCATTAAACTTGGAAATGTACCAAATTAATGATGTCAAATTACATGATGGTCCTCCTTCATGCTATATTCCTTAGTGTCAGATTTATCATTTTCATCTACTCAACTCTTGTTAAAGCAGATTTCAAAATTTTTAAGAACTTTTATAATTTTTGGAGGCACAATAAAGCAGAAACAACACCTTTTTCTTTCAAGCACACAAGCATTTCCTTTGTTTACAGACTTAAAATAAAACTGTTTTGATAAAAATATGGATTGATTTATTTTCGATTTAGCCACATGGTGGTTCATTGCTATGCCAATGGTTTGATAACAGTGGATGTTCAACATTTTAAGTTAGAGAAAAGTCCAGACACCCTCCATGATGAAATAACGGTAAGATAAAATGCTTAGAGTTTGATTTATAACAAAGAAAAAGAGAATAAATGCCCAACTTTGATAAAATATGCCATGGAAGTATCGATGTTTTCGTGCCGTTATTAATATAAAGTATTTTTATATTTGAATATCTATCAACTACATGGCCAAAAAATAATTTTTATCGTTGACTTCTTGTAATAACAACTGATCAGGAATATGTACGGTTTTATGATAAAAATGGGTCAGTTGGTTATTTATTTAAATTTTAGCTTTCTGCAAGTAAATTGAATGTATCCTTCGTATAAGGCATTGTAACATCTAAACATATTTAGATACAGACGGCTATTGGGATAAAAAAAAATCCGTAATGTAATATATAATTCACACCAATTTCAACGACAATACGATATTTGTAGCTTTTGGTGTAAATGAATATTTATATATGCATATTTAAATATATATTGCACATTTGCAGAACGCACAATACAATACATGAAATCACACTTTACGTAGTTTACAGCAATAAGTAAGCATTGCAAGTAAATGATGTGTTAAAATGACAGATGCTAAACAGTACAAGGAGAAAAGTTTCATACAAATGGATTATTCAAACAACCGTTCCATTGGATCCAAATTACTCTTCCTGTGATTTTGATTCTTTTAAATATATAAACATAGATGATATCCAGTGTTTCTATTGCAGAAGTGGAACGTGAATTTATAATTTCTTTTCAAAAGTGCGAAGCAAAAGAGCTACAGCACATGCATTTATTAAAATACATGTAAAAATCACTGTTGAAAATGTTTCGAAAATTATTATAATTATAAGATATATCGATTTTAATGTTACTGCTAATTTAAACTGATAATGTCAATCTTCAGACCGCTAAGAACTTGGAGACGAGGATCCGTGAGTCGCTTGGAGACCTTTGCAAGTACAGCAGATGGTAAAAAATCAGTCTGTATACTAGTAATAGTTGTATTGACAATTTGAACCATATTAGGCATGCACTGTAAAAATCACATACATAAAAGGGTCATATCTTTCGTGGTTTGAGAATAAATAAATTTGTTCATGGGGGATTTGATTTCCTGGTTGATGAATGGTTCAGAAGTAATTTATGTGACAAAAATGCATTTCGTGGGTCTCCTTATTATCGAAAAAAGAAAGTCAAAATTAAAATCCCAAAAAATTAAACTTTCTTAGGTTAAAAGATGATTACATATATGGCATCTACAAGTACAAGTGAAGTTTGGGGAAAAAATTATTTTAAGTAGATTTTTCGAATAAATTCGACTGTCGTTCGAATAATGCTGTCGAGTACTCGGCTGAGGAAAATAAATATTTTGACATCCTTAATATTAAGTAAACTCCTAGTAGAATAAAAGGTACAAGTATTTAATCAGTAAGTTTAGTAACTCTACTAAACTGTAAACATCACAAGTACATACACTTTTTTACAGTTTGCCTGGAGAAATAACACGAGGGGAGCTAACTCCATATTTTTCATCCGGAAGTGACACCCTTTTTGAATACGAAAACTTGAAGCTCATGTTCGAGAAAGATTCCAAATTTCAGAACATCAAAATCTACCACAATCCTGAAGTTGGAAATTTCATGTGTTTGGATGATGATATAAGTACGTTAAATAGGCGACTTCATATTTACAAACGAATTACATGTATCTTTTTTTTTTGTAAATATCAACATGATTTAACTATATATTGTAATTGCATTTAATCATGCTCTAATAACAAGTATATTACGAAATATCTATTTAAAGGAACTTTTGTCTAGTCGCCAAATCCTTTATATTACAAAAATTTTTTTTACACCAATCGATACAGACAAGGAGTTCCATTTAATTCCATGGCAGTTCAACAGCATTTCATTAAAAACTAGTGCTAATTGTAACGGGAACCGTTACAGATGTTCCCCAAACGCTCCCCAACTCCCTTTTGGTGCCATATTCCCTGTAAGCTTCATTAAATAAGACAAATTCTGGTAATTTAGACTTTAACAAAATTTACCCAGAAGGATACCAATTATATTCAAATTTTAGCATTGCACCCGTGCGCATGTGAATTCATGTGCGTTATGACCAAATCATCTGGTCTACACTATTTATATATTTAAATATACTATATATCAAAGCATTCAGTCCAAAAATATTAAAAATCACTCATTTAAGTTTATTTTTAATTTCACTCGTTCCAAATGCACGCACGTGCGTGCACGTGCATGATGACCTACCTTCTTGTAGGAGTTCCTTATATTTATCTATGTTCTGAATCCCATCCTGTTTGGTTGAAAAACAAGAGAGCTATAGCCATTTCAAGTTTAAGCCAATCAGATTGCAGCACACGTGCATGCTCGTGATTTCATGAATTTTTTGTATATCATATTGCAGGATATCCTAATGTAAAACTATGTTTTAAATTTCAAAGCATTTCGTCAAAAAACAAAGGGGATGTAGCCATTTAAACTTTCAGCCAATCAGAATGCAGCACACGTGCATGCGCATGATTTATTTAATTTTTCTGTATATCATGTTGCAGGGTATTCTAAAGTATGACTATGTTTTAAATTTCAAAGCATTTCATCAAAAAACAAAGGAGATATAGCCTTTTAAAGTTTCAGCCAATCAGATTGCAGCACACGTGCATGCGCGTGATTTCTTCAAATTTTTTTGATATCGTATTGTAGAATATCCTAGTTCATTACTATGTTTAAAATTTCAAAGCATTTCGTCAAAAAACAAAAGAGATATTGAGATTTCTGTTTCAGCCAATCAGAGCGAAGCTCACGTGCACGCGCGTGAGTTCGTGCTAATTTGACAGTGTCATGATATTAACACTATTAATATATCTTTATGTAATGAGTTTCAAAGCATTTCATCAAAAAATGTAACAGTTATGGCCATAATAAGTATATCAGTCATTTCACTCACTTCACGCGCCCGCACATGCAGGCGTATGCGCGCAAAATGACCTTCGTTCCGCACACCTACACTACACACCCATTAACCCTAAAAAGGTTTTAACTTAGTTTGGTGAACAGTTTCTGAGAACACTTCCGGACAAAAAAGTACCGGAGAAGAAATAAGAAGAAAAAAGAATAATAATAATAACTAGAGCAAAGCTCGTTGCAAAGCAACGAGTAGGTCTTCCGTCCTGTTTGACCGGAAGTAACTTTCATTTAAAACAAATAAAGAGTAATGAAGTCCCAGAATGGTTTAATCCTACAAATCTATGTTAATTATTGCAATATTAAGCCATTTTCTGCAACTTCCGGTTTGACCGGAAGTGACGACGACGGACGGAAAATTAAGATTTAAGCTTCCAGTAACATATGATATCCAAAAACCTGTCAAGAACAGTAAAAATATGCAATTTTTGACTACTTCCGGTTTGACCGGAAGTGACGTCGTCGGACGTATTTTGACGACGCCATTGGATAAAGCTTGATATTTAGAACAACTTTGCTTCTTTGACGTATTACAAATTCTCAATACTTTTTGAGATATAAAGGAAAAACTTTCAGCCCATTTTGGCCCTTTATTATAGGGGCCAGCCCCTTATCGTTGATAGCTTCGAAAGATCGTAACATTCTTCACAACTTTTGTTCTATATGTCTTTACAAAATATTAACGTGTAAAAAGATATTTTAAAAAATGTGTGAAAAATTTTCTAAATTCCCGATAGGACTTTTTTCGAGCCATAGCGAGCGCCGACGTGCTGCACTTCCGGTGAATAAGAAAGGTGTGTGTCACATCAGCACATGTTGCTCTATCATCGCTGAAAATCTTACGTTTCTATCTAAAAGCACTTTTGAGAAAAATGCTGGACAATGTGACCCTCTGAAAATCACTAAATCGCGGAAATCTCGAAACCGGAAGTGACGTCATAAAAATAAAAAATGATATATCATGTTTGATTGATGTTCCATCAGTCCTGAAAGTCATGAAAATCGATCGAGCCGTTTCCGAGAAATCGCGTGCACAAAATCGGTAAGAAAAAAACAATAATAACTAGAGCCGAGCTCGTTGCAGAGCAACGAGTAGGTCTTCCGTCCTGTTTGACCGGAAGTAACTTTAATTTTAAAAAAAATTAAAGAGTAATGAGGTCCCAAAATGGTTTAATCCTCCAAATCTATGTTAATTATTGCAAAATTAAGCCATTTTTGGCAACTTCCGGTTTGACCGGAAGTGACGTCAACGGACGGAAAATTAAGATTTAAGCTTCCAGTGACATATGATATCGAAATACCTGTCAAGAACAGCAAAAATATGCAATTTTTGACTACTTCCGGTTTGACCGGAAGTGACGACAGCGGACGTATTTTGACGACGCCATTAGATAAAACTTGATATTTTGAACAACTTTGCTTCTTTGATGCATTACAAATTCTCAATATGTTTTGAGATATAAAGGAAAAACTTTCGGCCGCTTTTGGCCCTTTAGTATAGGGGCCAGCCCCTTATCGTTGATATCTTTCGAAAGATCGTGACAATCTTCACAACTTTTGTTCTATATGTCTTTACAAAATATTAACGTGTAAAAAGATATAGCCAAAAATGTGTGAAAATTTTCTAAATTCCCGATAGGACTTTTTTCGAGCCATAGCGAGCGCCGACGTGCTGCACTTCTGGAGAATAAGAAAGGTGTGTGTCACATCAGCACATGTTGCTCTATCATCGCTGAAAATCTTACGTTTCTATCTAAAAGCATTTTTGAGAAAAATGCTGGACAATGTGACCCTCTGAAAATCACTATATCGCGGAAATCTCGAAACCGGAAGTGACGTCATAAAAATAAAAAATGATATATCAGGTTTGATTGATGTTCCATCAGTCCTGAAAGTTTCATGAAAATCGACCAAGCCGTTTCCGAGAAATCGCGTGCACAAAATCGGTAAGAAAAAAAAACAATAATAAAAATAATAAAAATAGTGGAAAAGAAACCTAAGAATAACAAGAAGAAGACGGAAGACCTTAATAAGATATATGTTCCCAAACTCCGTTTGGGGAACATAATAAAGTGAAAATTAGCTTCATCGGATTATAATATAAAAAATCAAAGCGCTTTTGTTTTTGCTTTTCAGTGATCGGCGAAAGTGACCTTATTTACACGCAGACGTTACTGGGCATCGAGCGCAACGATTTCCGGGATAAAACGGTTTTGATTCTAGGGGGAGGAGACGGGGGAATTATGTATGAATTGCTGAAAGAGAACCCCAAACACGTGCTAATGGTGGAGGTTTGTATCTTAATATATTTGTTAATTCTCATTTCCTTTCTCTAGAAAACATTTACAATAAGATTATAACGGATGGGTTCTTACCAGTGCAATATAACATTGAAAATAATGAGATAACAAACAATAATCAAGGTCAAATGTTCATTTAAACGATACAAATCGGGAACAGGAAAACACGGATCTTTCAATAACATCAGAAGTTGGCCATGGATAACTGAGGTGGAGAAATAGGCATCCCGTCAACCGTAACATCCTACGTATACTACTTCAAATAAAACCCTTGATAACAATTATATTAAAAAATAAAACAAAGAAAAAAATGCAAAATACGTAATGAAATAATACATACATGTATATAATATAGAATATCCCACATCTCTTTTATGAAACTGATTAAACATGTAATGGATTATATTAAGCATACAGGAAAGAGATGTGCAAAAGCTTCTAAATATTTAAAATTCTCAAATTCATAAGGTTTGGATATTTAATATAGACCTTCAGATTGATCGAGATGTTGTGCTGGCCTGTAGAACTCATATGCGCAAGATTTGTGAATCAGCAATGGATTCCTTTGAAGGCCCTAACTTCAAGGTGATACTTTAATCTTTTTTCAAACATAAACATATTTGGTCACCTATTTTCAAAGGTAGATCTTTTATTTTTATTTTGATTAAATAAATTGGTTGAAATAAAACCTCATTGTCAATTAAAAAAATAAAATATTATCTTTCTAATATAAAGCACATTTTAAAAAAATGTGTGAATAAAATGTATAATTCCTGTTTTTGACTTTACCTATGTTTTAGATTCAATTCGAAGACTGTTTGAAAGTTCTTCAAGAATGTCAACAAGACGGCCGGAAGTTTGATTACGTCATCAACGACCTCAGCGAATATATAATCAACGCAGAAAATAGTAATGTTACAAAAACACTGTATATATGATAGTTTCCTCTTTTGCTTCAGCAATCTACGAATTATATACAAAAATACAGTTATGTATATTTAAAACATATTAATTTAAAGAAAAGGAATTTTAACAAACCACGATTTCGTGTCGCATTTACTCTTATGTAAAAATAGTGCCATTATATTGATATTTATTGCACTTAAACCTACAATTTCAATTTTGCAGAATATGGATGTAAGGCACAATGACTTATACTTAACAGTCTTTGATTTTTTTTCAGCGAAATTTGCCTATGATTTTAAAACATCGTGCATCATTTTAGAGCTGTCCTTAAAGGTCCTCAATCCACACGGAAAATACCTGTCTCGGGTACCCTATTTGATATTTGTTGATATTTATATTACCTGTATATACAGATGCTCTGTACATGTATTAAGACACGTTTAGATTGTCAGCGCGTTGATGGACATATTCGTTATTTAATTAATATACCTCTTTCGAAAGGGCTTATGTCCAAAATAACGAAATGCATATGTTAATAAGAAGAACTCCTTTTTTTCAAAAATTACAAATATTTACTAATTCATGTTATTTTTTTTTGAAGGGCAATACTGTAAGTGCCACAGAATTCCTGCGGAAGTATGAGGACGACATTAAACATCTAGGCATGCAGTTTCAAAAGTCTGAGGTGTATGTACCGTCATTCAAAGAGAAGTATCCTTTTTATCTGAACCTGCAATGCACAAGGTTTGAAAGATTCTACTGAGTTTTCTTATATTATAAAGCATAAGACAAATGGTTTAAAAAGACACTTTCCTGTAAATTCAATTAAATTCCTTATATAGAGCCAAATGAGTATAAGAGTACTGCAAACCAACAAAATCTGAAATAATCTCAATAGCTGATGAATGATGATGCGTTTGATAGGTTTTTGTTTGGTTTTTCTTCATTATTTATCAAAACATGTTCATAATTATTTTCATGTCCTTTAGATTTAAAACTGCTAATTATGAAATGTCTCCATAATTGGCATTTCAAACAGAATGATACAGGTAACACAATCCTGTGGTATTGTGCAAAAATGTTAGGTACCTCGATTTTTTTTTTTTTTCGGAAACTTCATTGTTAAAGTATCATACTTTAGTAAGATTTCCAGCTGAAGATTATCGTTTCACACATGGGCAAGTGATCACCAACAAAAGCTTCTCAAAATGTATTGTATATATCAAATATGTTAAACTTTGAGTGGAATACTAAAGGTTGTATCTGATTCCCTGAATTTAAATTTATTCTTCAGATAAACTCAACAAAAAAGGTCAAATTTTAGGCATGTTTTGAATGACAACGGGCAAATATTATTATAACTTTATCTGTATGATAATGACAACGAACCAGTTTCCATGCTTACCTTTGAAAGCTTCTGACAACGGTACTGTCTAGGAACCTAAAATGTTCCTAGCACTGAATTCTTTGGAAAAAATATTTTTAGGAACATGTCGTCTGACCTAGTAGTGAACCCGCATATATACTAATGACACTGCATGTTCTTTAAACATATTCTGACTTTCTTTCTATTTTAATAAGAACAACTTAACATGTGTACAACTGCAGAATATCATTGGTGATCCTTAACTTTCACAAAGCTATTGTTTCTACGAGGTTTGGAGAGTACAAGAATCGAGAAAAGAATAGAAGTTTGTGTAATGAATGAAAAGGGAATTCATGACAATAAAAAATGAAAAAGATCATGGTTTTATCTTAATTTCATTGGCAGTTTTTTCTCAATTATTTTGATATTTTAATAATGTAAGATTAAGTATGGCTCTACAAAGGCTATATCAATATAAAAAATACCGTATAAGTGGAAATTTTAGCGAGACGCAAATTTAGCGATTTGCCCTGGTAATTTATTTTTAGAGAGATGTTATTTAAGCGATTTTAAAATGCACATTAAAGAAACTATTACAAATAAAACGCATTAATTTTTAGCGATACTCAATTTTAGCGATCTCGACACCCTCGCTAAAAATGCCAAAATTAAATCCTCGCTAAAAATTCTACTTATACGGTAATCTAATAATCAGGAAAGCCATTATGTATCATATTAATTTAAAACCATCCGCAGGGAGTAAAGATTCAAATTTGTTCAAATGCACTCCTTCCCTGAACCCACTTTTTCTATTTAAAATTTTCAATACTGAGCTGATTTTTGCTTTTACCTAGCCAATTGCTCAGGTGAGCAATGAGGCCCCTGCGTCAGGTTATGATAAGGCGCCACCTGCCACTTAAATTTAGAAGGTCTCTATGAGACCTGCATTTTGGTTTGGGTTTGCCAGCATACTGTAAACGTATTACATTTGGCTGTGTATTCTTTTTTGCGCTTTTGGCGGAAAGCAAGTCTTGTACATATACAAATAAAAAAGAATTTTATGAGATACGCTGAATCAAACTGCTAGATAGTTCATCATTTAATTTCCGCCAAATATTATACACGCTAAATATAATACATTTACAGTATATTAACTCAGACGTCAAATAATTACTATTTTATTTTATTAATGATAAATTTATTTCATGTTTTATTAATGATAATTTTATTTTACTATTTATCTATTATAAATTTCCGTGAAATGGTTGTTTCATTGATTAGAATATTCTTAACTAATCGTGTTCAAGACTAGTAATTCAAAAACTGTATACGAGGGTTGTTCAAAAAGTTCTTGGACAATTTTCGTTATATTCTCACTAGAAATTTAAAATAAGCACATTCTAATATGTAAAAATATTTGTTTATTGATGTGTGAAGTTTCATTCCATTCAATGTAACAGAAATCAATTAACTTAATTTTTAAATCAGCATGTTTTTTACCCAGGGAGCACACTTAACGCCATGTAATGTCGAAACATAGCATCACGAATTTCTAAAAAAAAATACTATCCTTATACATTTCAAACTCTATAATCCAATGCCCACTCATTCACACCTTTTTCTAATACTTGACAATTATTTTCAAGAATTGTTTTCGTTGTATAATTTTCTTTGTTCAGGTTTTAATTTCTTTTATTACTTACATGTAACTCTGCCTTCACAGAATAAGCAACTCTGAAGCTCCTGTTTACCCTTGACGTTCCAACATTTTAAAGTCATCTGATACAGAGTCTCTGAAACTCAAATACTTATTTGTACACACATTTTTTGATTCCTTCAACATTTTTTTTTAGAGTTAATTCAGGATTTCTCCTGAGTAAAACACAAAAATTGAATCGTTATATATATATGCTGCTCCATGACGTACTAAAACGTCATCGTTTTTGTCGTTTTCAACGAAGACAAGCTATCGTCTCATTAAGTAGATTTCTTTTTAAATGTTAAATATATATTATGATGAAATTATCCTTTTTTGAATTTTTAGGTTGCTTTTTGTTTTTGTTCCATTTTTCAGAGAATATGACGGCAGACATTTTAGTGTATTGTTTGTAACTTACTAAATCTTGACCTGCTTGGCGATCCGAATTTTGCATTTTATAAATCTGTAGAAGTTTTGAATAAATAAAATGACACAAATCATATGAATTTATGGTTCAAATACCTCTGCCAAATCTGTGACCCTTTTCACAAAAAATCTTATGACTAAGACTAAAACTTCACGACTCTGTAATTTTTAGCTCACCTGAGCCGAAGGCTCAAGTGAGCTTTTCTGATCAAAATTTGTCCGTCGTCTGTCGTCGTTGTTGTTGTTGTCGTTGTCGTTGTCGTCGTCGTCGTCAACTTTTCACATTTTCATCTTCTCCTCAAGAACCACTGGGCCAATTTCAACCAAACTTGGCACAAAGTATCCTTGGGTGAAGGGGATCAAGTTTGTTCAAATGAAGGGCCACGCCCTTTTCCAAGGGGAGATAATCATGATTTAGAGAAAAATATTGGCATTTTTAAAAAATCTTCTCCTCAAGAACCACTGGGCCAGGAAAGATGAAACTCATGTGGAATCATTCTCAGGTAGAGTAGATTCAAGTTTGTTCAAGTCATGACCCCCGGGGGTAGGGCGGGGCCAAAATGGCCGATCAAAGTTTTACATAGGAATATATAGGAAAAATCTTTAAAAATCTTCTTCTCAAGAACCACTGGGCCAGGAAAAATGAAACTCATGTGGTATCATCCTCAGGTAGTGTAGATTCAAGTTTGTTCAAGTCATTACCCCCGGGGGTAGGGCGGGGCCAAAATGGGCGATCAAAGTTTTACATAGGAATATATAGGAAAAATCTTAAAAAATCTTCTAGGGAAACCTTTTTAAATCTTCTTTTCAAGTACTTCAAAGCCAGGATTAGTAATATTTGTATGGAATCATCCTCGGGTAATGTAGATTCTAGTTCGTTCAAATTATGATCCCCTTGGGAGGGTAAAATTCAAGCCCCCTCAACTTAAATTAACTTTCAGTTCTGATCTGATGTGTTTTTTCCTAGCTGATGTGCTCAGGTGAGCGCTGTGGCCCCTGGGCCTCTTGTTAATTTCATGAAGATTTTTTTTGTAAATAATTATTTACAAATTTATCCCTGAAATATTAATAAGATGTAATAGAAATAGCTTAGATATGTGTTTAAGAATGGGGGAAAATTTTAGTCTTAGTCATAATATTTTTTGTGAAAAGGGCAACTGGGTGACATATGACGTCAAATATAACGGATATGACAAAGTCCACGAACTTTTCGAATAACGGTCGTAAATCATATAGTAGTGTGTAAGATAAATTTTTACAAACTTAGTAGTTTGAAAATTAGGTGCTGAAAATGTTCAAAAAATAACATATTTACATAGCAAAAAAAAATTATAGCTTGGTGTTACCAGGAAACTATGATTGCAAAAGCCATCCAGCAAATGATGACCTCCCACGGTTGTAGCTGATAATAGACCCTGTGACAGGCTCGTGCGTGCGTAGAAATACATGGTCCCCAGGGTTTGCGTGAGTGACAACCAATTCACTTCCGGTTTCCCAATCACCAGTTGATAATGTGTGAGAAGATGCGGATCCAATAGCTTGCCCATTTACAATTATTTCTACACTTGCCCATGAACGTTCCCTTACTTTCAATGACCAATGAAATGCATAGACTCCATGTACAGGCTTAATAAAAACTCCATTGTGTTTATCATATCCATTTCCTTCGTTTTTTTATCACTGTGTCGAAAGTAAACGTCATGTGGGCGGGGATATTAGGCCGGAAAAGGAAATTCATGTAGGCATAGAATGCCACAAATTGTGAAGCTGAAACCGATGTTGAAGGAACTGAAATATATTTTGAAATATCCGATAAAACATGAGTATAAAGTGTGAAATACATTGTTTACTTTTAAATTTTCGATAGTCATTTTTCTTGAAGGCTACATTTTAAATATTTATTTTTCTTCAATTTTCATGCTACATATAATACATGTAATACATGTAGAATACTTACTGTAAATGATACGCTTGTATAAATGTAAAATTACTAGCATACGTACTGATTCTGGGCACAACATTTTTCCTTCTTTTCATCAAGACCGTTCGTTGTGCTTTGGACTTCGTCAGGAAAATTTGGCTAATTTTCGTCATTCAACACATCCGTATCAATTTTTCTTTTTAGGCCATTTAAAATCAATTTTAAAGCAACAATTTCCCGCTGAATATTGCAATATTCCTTTGATGTCTTTAATTTCTCCTTTGAGTTTAGAGTTTTCATTCTTTAGTTCCTTCTTGGATTCTTCTAAATCCTGCAAGCGGTTTTCAATTCTTTCCATGCTGTTTGGGTCAACTCTACCTTGGACATGACGAAATGGTAAAAGAACACAAATATTTTTAGAGGAGTCCTTTTGCTACGGAAGCCCTTTTAGGACATACAAAAATATTTTTTGAAATTTGATAAAACGAATTGACGAATTTGTTTTAACGAATCTAATTCATTATAACAATTTCTTTGAATTTGCTTTATCGATTTTAATCTGTTATAACAAATTTGTTGAATTCATTATAACGAATTCTTTAATTTGTTATAACGAATTACATTCGTTAAAACGAATTCAAAAAATTGTTATAACAAATTAAGTTTGTTAAAACACATTCCAAATTTATTATAACGAATTAAAATTGCTTAATTAAATTCAGTAATCAGGACCTATAGAAAAATATATATGAATTCAATATAACGATTTGTCGAATTCGTTTTAACGAATTTAATTCGTAATAACAAATTATGGAATTCGTTAAAACGAATTCAATTCGTTATAATAAGTTTTAGAATCTGTAAAAACGAGTTTAATTCGTATTAACAAATTTCTGAATTCGTTGTAACGAAATCAACAAATTTGTTATGACAGATTAAATTCATTATAACGAATTCAAAGAAATTGTTTTAACGAATTAAATTCGTTATAAAAAATTTGACAATTCGTTATATCGAATTCAAAAATATTTTTTCGATAGGTCCTAAATAGGCTTCCGTATTTTGCTGTCATTTTCATAAGCTTTTAAGGTACTTGGACACAGATTTGAAGTTATTATTTTCTCTATAATATTATGACATATATTTTAATCGCATTTCACACAAAAATTAATTAAAAATCTTATTTCATATAAAAGATATTAAAATTTCAAATTTTTTGGCGCGTTTGATTAACACATCCTTGCACTTTTACAAATTAATTTTATTCTTAATCCTTCGGAAAAGTGGCAATCTCGTTTTGTATAAATGAAAAATATTAATAATATAATCCAGAAAATTCAGAGTAGACATGTTCGAAAGCAAAACAAACACACAATATATTGTCAGTCCGTGCAGTTGTGGTAAGCAGACTTTGACGATTGAACGCACCCGGTGAATTGTAAGCATAAACAATAACAGAACTCCTGCCCTGTTTACAAAAACTGTGTACATAACTTTAGTGTGCTTGATTTGCTAAACTCTGTACGCAACTCTTAGTTCGGAATGACGATACTTGTGAAGGAGTTTTGCTTTCTAACATTTCTACTCTGAATAAAATTATTTTTCTGAATAAAAGTTTTAATATTTCTCATTAATACACAACAAAATTGCCACTTTTCCTAAGGATTAAGAATACGTAATAAATTTGTGAAAGTGCAAGGATGTGTCAATCAAACCAGCGAAAAAAATTGAAGTTTTAATAACTTTTAAATGAAATAAGATTTTCAATTATTTTTGTGTGAAATGCTATTAAAATATATAAGTCGTAAATCATAGAGAAAATATTGACTTCAAATCTGTGTCCAAGTACCTTTAATCTTCATGTCAAGTTTAGGAACTGTATAAACAGTCAGTCCCTTACTGTTACATATAATGTGTATTTAGGTACAGAGAAATGTAGATTTCAAAGATAAGGAAAATTTGAGCCTTATTTATGCAATAAAAAACGTTCTCGTCTTGATATTTATTTGAGGTTAGCACACTTTGTCGAATTCTGATTACCTTTTCGGCATACTATTGTCTATAATAAGACAATACTATAATCATTATGCTGGCGTTTGTATTTATAAATTATCAATTCAATACCTGTTTGCATACAAATGACCTAATGGAAAATTTTCTTTATATGAAGATATCTTTCACGTGAAATTAAACATTCCACTTATGACTTATATGTTTTTTATTGGATTGTGTCTTTTTACGAAACCTGACTAATTTTCAACAATATTTAAATTTCCAATGAAGTAACGCGCGTACATGAACTATCTTATCTGTAAATACTATGGACGAGCCATTCCAAAACCTACAACCCTACAATCAAATCTCGAAATAAATCAAATTACCATCTAATTTAGTAGATTTGAAATGTACGAGATATTCCATGTTATTTTCCATTGCCCCTCCCCATGACGTCAAATTTTACTATAAAAAATAGTCACATAAAACACGAAATAAATTTTATGATTGTTTTATTACTGTAGCATATTAACATTTATGAAATAAACAACAAAAGAATTTTAAGATATGAAGCAACCAATCTTGTTAACTTAAAATATATATGTGACCTAGATTGAGGTTGTCGGAAGCTCAAACACATGTATAGACCCTAGGTCACTTCTCCGCCGCCATATTGAATGCAATGTTGCAGATGATGAAACGGGAGTTGGTTAGGAAACCGATTTGCGTGGATGATAAATTTGCAGAGGAAGTTGAGTTGCTTACGAATGTTAGAATAGTAGAGGTAGTTGAGTAGCTTACGAAGTCAGATGATAATGACAGAGGGACGAGCCATTCCAAAAACTACAACCCTTAGATTTGGGTTATTTCTTTTAAGGGCCACTCTGACGTTTAAAGTGTGTCATTCAAGGAGAAGTATCCTTTATGTAAAGTAACGTACTATAAAGACAATTGTTGAAAAAGTTAAACTAATTAAAATCAGATAATTGTTAACCTCCAAGTTATATGTCAGTAGCTAGATTCAACGACTTTCAGAATTTCGGAGCGTACATAAGGTTCATCGATACTCTGATAAATGTGATAACTCTTAACTATATAAATGTCTATTAATCTTTTATAGATTTGCCAAGTTCAATTGTCTTATTTATCGCAATCCGCTACGCAAGCTATGCTATAATTGTTTGTATTTTACTTATAAAGTACATTTCTTTAGGAAAATCATTAAGAGTCAAGCAAAATTTTATATCAATGAACCTTAAAAGCTCCCTTCCATTGAAATAAAATATTTGTATTTTTACCTGCAATCATGATTTTATTTTCATAACATTATTGAGTTTGAGATATTGTGAGAAAGCAAACCTAAATACGTCAAATTCAACACTTACACATGTAACTGTAATTTTAACCATAATAATTCATTACCTGTTGAGTTCACCATCTCACAGCATATAAAATCAGTTAACAAATTATCATTATTTTTAAAGAATACTTCCACGCTGTAAATTGATGATTTTTTGAATCAGAGCGATTTGGTCAAATATTGTTTAAGATCAATTCTCAAGCAAAAAATAAAAAGCTGAATCTTCAAGTAATCTCTCAAAATCAGCTTTACATGGTCTTCCTTTGTAATAAATCGCTTTATCCGGAAGATCTTATTAAAAAATGAATTACTTATATAACAATTTAAACGTTTTACTTCTCGATATAACGAGTAAATTATTAATGCATAAGCCATCCAGAAAATGATGAACGCGCTCTGTTATTACTGTAAATATATCCAGCTACAGCTTCCTGTGTGCGCAGGAATACATGATCACCTGCATTAGCGTGGGTGACGATCAACTCACTCCCAGTGCCCAAGCTTCCAGCTGAGTCGGTCGATGCGCATCCAATCGAACGTCCATTTACAATTATTTCGACACTTGCCCATGAATGTTGTTTTATTTTCAATGACCAATGAAATGCATAAATTCCATTCACGGGCACAATAAAGACTCCATCATGTTTACTATATCCATTTCCGTCGTTTATTATCACTGTGTCGAACGTAAGAGTCATGTGGGCGGGGATACTAGGCTGGGAAAAGGAATTCATGTAGGCATAGAAAGCGACAGGTTGTGAAGCAGAAACTAATGTCGGAGGAACTGAAATATATTTTGAAATATCCGATAAAACATGAGTACGTATAATGTGTGAAATACATTGTTTAGTTATAAATTTTCGATAGTGATATTTCTTGAAGGCTACATTCTAAATATTTTTCTTCAATTTTCATGCTACATATAATACATGTCATACATGCAGAATACTTACTGGAAAAGATACGCTTGCATAAATGTAAAATTACTAGCATACGTACTGATTCTGGGCATAACATTTTTCCTTCTTTTCATCAAGTCTGTATCACTTATGTCACTATCATTTTTCATTATCCCATTCCGATTGGTCTCATTTATTTTACCGTTCGTTGTGCTTTGAACTTCGTTAGGAAAACTTGGCTGATTTTCATCATTCAACACATTCGTATCAATTTTTCTTTTTAGGCCATTTAAAGTCAATTTTAAAGCAACATTTTCCCGCTGAATATTTTTAGCAGTCCGTTAATGCCTTTAATTTCTTCTTTGAGGTCGGAGTTTTCATTCTTTAGTTTCTTGTTGGACTCTTCTAATTCATGCAAGCGGTTTTCAATTCCTTCCATCCATTTTTGGTCAACGTTTCCTTGGACATAGTGAAATGGTAAAAGAACACACAGAATTAAGAGGAGCCCTTTTACCGTCATTTTCACTAGCTTTAATCTTCGTGTCAAGTAAGTGACAGTACAATCAGGTACATATAATGTGTGTTTAAGAACAGAGAAATGTGGATTTTAAAGATAAGGATTAATTGTGTCGTATTTTGCAATATTATTGCGTACATCAAGACCTTTTTTATATTAACATGTATTTCAGGCGAGCGCACTTTGTCAAACCCTGAATACTTTTTCAGCATCATATTATTTCTGATAACTACACTAAATTTTAATTATTATGCCGTCTTTTGTAATGATAAATTATCGGTCCAATAGCTGTTTGCAGACAAATGACTTTATTGAAAATTTTCTTGAATATGAATTGATCTTTTACATGAAATAAAGAAAATATTATAACTATAACTTACATTGTTTTTATTTTTTGCACCTTTGATGGAAACCTGACTGATCTTCATTTAAAACGTATACATATTTCAGATTTTCAATGAAAACTTATATTTCAGATACAGCTTTCAGATCATTCAAATTCTGTGTCAGTGAAATATTCTCTCAGTAATTTGTTGCAAGACCTCTTCGTTATCCTGATCCTCCCTTATTAAAATTCGAGATTTCATTCATAATAACTTAATCCCATTCGTATGGGTTTTTCTTAACAATAACGCTGCTTTCAGCTTTTTTTTGGCACGTAGGCCTATATTGTTTTTGTCCTCTCTGTCTGTTTGTCTAACTGTTTGTCTGTTGACAACGTTAACCTTCGCCATAACTTTTGAACCGTATAAAACAACGTTTTTTGAAGACAATTGTTGAAAAAAATGTCGGAGCATGCTAAAGATATCATTGTAATGAGATTGCAGAATTATTACAGTTTCGTATTTTTAAAAACATGTGTCAAGTGACATATCTTTGAAATAAGTATACCATTTATTGTACAATTTATCAAACATTCTCTTCTCTAAAAGTAATAGCTTTTTTAAAAAGCTTGCCTGACTAATACCATAAATATCCACAGAACCTATAAACATGATAAGTTATTAACGTTTACATCGGGGAGAGGGAATTATGAAGATGTTGCACGTTGAAACATCATGCATTCATTTTAAGTTGTTTACTCATCAAAGCAATGGAAAAAGAACAAATTTTATATAAAACGTATATATTGTTTGTATCTCAAATAAAAATGGAATGTACAGTACATGTACATGACTGTGGATAACATTTGAACTATGAATAAAGTGTACATGTATATAGTTAAAATTGCTTGTACGTGTGCAAAGCCAAAAATAACAATGTATATACTTAAGAAATAAATAACAAGTTTATAAACTTCAATGGAAATTGAAGTGGGTCGGTCACGTGATCGAATCCTGTGAAGGCCGAAGGCCTTCTCAGAAGATTTGATCACGTATCGACCCACTTTAATTCCCATTGAAGTTTATAAACTTGTTGTTTATTACTTATATATACATTTGAGACAGAAGATTAAATAATTTTGAATATAAATTATTCCACTTAGTCTAACCGTCCGTCGTAGATTTTGAAAAATGACGCAAGGTGTAAAATGGCTTGAATGGCGGTTACGCTTCGAATTCATTACTGACATTAGGATTTTATTTCTAAGGGACTGTTTTGTGAAAGGCTACTTGTGATCAGTAATAGTGAACAGAGTATTGTCTGGGAATATTTCTATACGTGAAAATTGATAATTAATGCTGAAAAGACACAAGAAACACGTCCGAAGATTGAAGATAAAAAGTTGGAGGAATTTCGGTCGCCAGAAAGGAATGGATGATCTGATGGATGGAAACACTTGACCGTGCCAGTTTATTAACAACCAAGTATTTCAGATCAAAAACTTTTAACCTATGATTTCAATAACTAAAAGCATAATTATTTATGATGTAAATAAATCACGGGGACACTAGCGAAAGCTGACATTGAACTACGACAGCGCCGAGGTGTTTAACAGCTGTTCGTGACGTGATTGCAATTGCTTTGAATGCTTTGATATTTTCCAACAGATTTACTTATTTATCGTAAGTAGAATTTAATGAAATAATTATAGTTTATCGTGAAGATTTAACTAAATGTCTACCCCAAAAATATTAAGGATAAACGTTAGAGACTGTACAGCTGAAACAAAGTGACATAAAACTTAGATTCTATCGGTATATTCTCAATGTACACAGGTTAAATCGATAGCCAAAATAACTGTATGAAATACTTGTTAACGTTGTAAATAAAATAATTATTATTCTACTTGCATATTTTGTTCATTTTTATACATGAAAAGCAAGTAGAGCAAGTCATTTTATATTTATGCACCGGTAGATATTATTGCGCCGTGTGATTAGGTCACGTATTGACCTCTGACCTCGGACAAACTTCATACAGAATTGAAGATATTTGTTCTCCGTATGTTTATATACTGCAGTAATAGAGAGATACCACAAATGTATATACTTAGCTATGTCTACAAGTAGCCTCTCAGATAAACCTTCACATGATTTTATCATGTTTATTTTTGAAAAATAAGATAGGTAGCTATCAACAACATTTATTTCTTGATATAATCAGTAAATTATGAATGTATAAGCCATCCAGAAAATGAAGACCGTGCACGGTTATTACTAATAATAGATCCTGTCACAGGCTCATGTGTGCGTAGGAATACATGGTCACCTGCATTTGCCCGAGTGACGACCAACTCACTCCCCGTTCCCCATCCACCGAGTCGTAGTGTGTCAGAAGATGCGCATCCAATAGCATTCCCATTTACAATGATTTCGATACTTGCCCATGAATGGCTATCTACTTTCAGTGACCAATGAAATGCATAGATTCCATTCACAGGCACAATGAAAACTCCATCGTGTTTATTATATCCATTTCCTTCGTTTATTATCACCGAGTCGAACGTTAGAGTCGTGTGGGCGGGAATATTACCCTGGGAAAAGGAATTCATGTAGGCATAGAATGCTACAGTCTCTGCAGTTGAGACTGATGTTGGATGAACTGAAATATATATTTTTTTAAGTTTCAAATTGATAAAGAATTTTATATATAAAATTGTAAAAAGTGCGAATCAGTGCATCACAAATTAAGAAATATGTATTTGATGTACTCTAATGTGCTTTTTTTTTATTTTGTTTTTTAATGTTCTTAAATTTTCATGTTTATACATTTTTTCCTTAATTATATCATGCATGTATGAATTTAATTAAAATTAAAATTTCTAGCAAACTTACCGATTCTGGGTACAACCTTTTTGATTGTATCGACAAAGAGTGTATCATTTACGTTATTTCCATTGTTTTTCATCGTCCCATTCCGATTGGTTTCATTTATTCTACCTTTTTTTGTGCTTCGAGCCTCTTCAGGAAAACTTGGCTGGTTTTCATCGTTCAAAACATCAGTTTCAATTGTTCTTTTTAGATCATTTAAATTCAACTTTAAAGCAATATTTTCCCGTTGAATTTCTTTCAGGAGTCCGTTAATTTCTTTAATTTCTCTTTTAAGTTTGGAGTTTTCATTCTTTAGTTCCTTGTTGGATTCTTCTAAATCCTGTAAGCGGTTTTCAATTCTTTCCATCCAGTTTTGGTCAACTCTACCTTGGACACGAAGAAATGCTAGAAAAACACATATGATTAAAAGAAGCGCTTTAGTTGTCATTTTCACAATCTTTAATCCTCGTATGAAATTAGGAAATTTATAAACAAGCAGTCCTTAACTGTTACATATAATGAGTGATTATTAAGAACAGAGAAATCTAGATTTCAGAGATAAGGACAAATTGTGTCATCTTTGACTACTTTGGTAAATATAATGGTCTTTCTCAAGACCTTATCTTTTTTATATATATCGCGAACTCAAACTGTAAATACTATTTCAGTTCAGAATGTGTAGTTATATCACATACGTGCATATTCTGTAGAAGTACTTTTTTCCGCGTGGTATTAATTTACGCTATGTACGCGGTCACAATTTTTCCGCGGAAATTTTTCCAAACGTTCTTAATATAAATGTAAGGCATATAGTGACAGTCTAGGAAATCCGCGTAATTTTCTTCACGCGAATTAAACGGAAATTTAGATTACGCGGAATTATGACCCCGTGGAAAAAACTATGTCTACAGTATACTATATTCTATAATTATATTATAATTCAGAATTTTGTATTCAATTTGATAAATTCTCCATATGCATCCAATACCTGTTTGCCGACAAGACCCAATAGAAAATTTCGTTAACATATATAAATCGTTTGCATGGGATACAATTTTTTTCGTACGACATTTTACAGATGTCATTCCTATGCAAGTTCAAACAACGTGTATGTAAAACTCATTGATATGTTCCTTTGGGGGATTGGGGGAAATCTCCGCTGACTTTCAAGATTCAAGACATCAATTTCATTGATTTTTTTTAATAATTCAATAATTTAATAATTATAGATAATTCAAATTCGGTTTCACCCCCTCCCCAAGACTTTTGCAACGGGCCTGCATTAATCTTACTCTTGATTTCATTATCATTTTTTAAGACATTGAAGTTATTTTCGATTGTTAATCATGCTATCATCATTGGCACCTTGTATATATCAAATAAAATATGGAGATACAAGAGGCCCAGGGGCCACAGCGCTCACCTGAGCACATCGGCAATCAGATCAGAACTAAAAGTTTACTGAGGTTAAGGGGGGCTTGGATTTTAATCCCCGAAGGGGATCATGATTTGAACGAACTAGAATCTATATTACCTGAGGATGATCCCATATAAATATTACTAATCATGGCTTTAAAGTACTTGAAAAGAAGATTTTAAAAGGTTTCCCTATTTATTCCTATGTAAAACTTTGATCGGCCATTTTGGCCCCACCCTACCCCCAGGGGTCATGATTTGAACAAATTTGAATCTACACTACAAGAGGATGATACCAAATGAGTTTCATCTTTCCTGGCCCAGTGGTTCTTGAGAAGAAGATTTTTAAAGATTTTTCCTATATATCCCTATGTGAAACTTTGATCGGCCATTTTGGCCCCACCCTACCCCCGGGGGTCACGATTGGAACAAACTTGAATCTACACTACCTAAGGATGATTCCACATGCCTTTCATCTATCCTGTTCCTATGGATCTTGAGAAGAAGATTTTTAAAGATTTTTCCTATATATTCATATTTAAAACTTTGATCGGCCATTTTGGCCCCACCCTACCCCAGGGGTCATGATTTGAACAAACTTGTATCTACACTACCTGAGGATGATACCAAATGAGTTTCATCTTTCCTGGCCCAGTGGTTCTTTAGAAGAAGATTTTTAAACATTTTCCTATATATTCATATGTAAAACTTTGATCGGCAATTTTGGCCCCACCCTAACCCCGGGGGTCGTGATTTGAACAAACTTGTATCTACACTACCTGAGGATGATTCCACATGAGTTTCATTTTTCCTGGCCCAGTGGTTCTTGAGAAGAAGGTTTTTATAAAACGTCATTAATTTTTCTCTAATTCATAATCACACTATATCTCCCCTTGGAAAAGGGCGTGGCCCTTCATTTTAACAAACTTGAATCCCCATTACCCAAGAATACTTTGTAGCAAGCTTAAGTTTGGTTGAAATTGGCCCTGTGGTTCTTGAGAAGAAGATGAAAATTTGTAAAGTTTACAACGACAACAACAACAACGACGACGACAACGACAGACAACGGACAAATTTTGATCAGAAAAGCTCACTTGAGCCTTCGGCTCAGGTGAGCTAAAAATCAGTATTCGAGCTGAAAAGTCCATTCAAAATCAGGAAATCAAGAGCAAAGCACAAACATACCTTTAAAACATCAGAGGTGGGATCAGGTACCATGGAGGAGTAAGCATCCCCTGTCCACAGGTCATACCCATCCTTGCTTCTTCTCAGTCAACATCTTATTTAATGATAAATTGCATCTGCTTACAAAACATGAGAAAGAGATGAGAAAGTCTTAATTTTTAAAAAAAAAATTGTCTACATGCCGAATTAAGGAGTTAGTATAAATCTTGCAGGTTATGCCCTACTAGTACAAATAATGTAGCAGTATTGAAACTCGAGAGATTCAAAGATAGGGCATAGACAAATCGTGCTATTTTACCTCGGACATCTGTGTTATTGAATGACAATCCTTTATAACGATGTTTTGTATATATAGCCATAACTAACATCTACGATTGTGAAATATTGCAAATATCGATGGAATTTATTTTATTCAATATCCTCTTCTTTACCAAATATTTAGGGTATACAAACAAAAGATCCAAATAAAAAAGTTACTTATTACTGCATTACGTTTTGCTGGTTTTAAATAATCATCAATGCATGAATTATGAATGGAGCCATCCAGAAAATGAACATCGTGTAATGCTATTACTTGTTAGGGCCATATGTCCGGGAATGCGTTTTTTAGACTAGCTAGGAAAAAGAACTAATGTAGGCATAGAACGCGACAGTTCAAAATGCAGACACTGACGTTGGAAGAACTAAAATATTTTCAAAAGTTAATAATGCCTTTCATTCTATAAAAACGTTGTTGTATTATCATCGTATAAAAATCGAATTTCACTCTATTTTGATTTACATTCATTCCTTAAAAATTACTTTTACAGTAAACATACCGATTCTATAGAAAGTCTGCTAAATACTGGTTTTGACCAAGTGGGTACAACTAATATTATCCTCGTGATTTCTCTTCGTTGCATTCCAACTGTTTATAATACGAATTCCTATATTCTACTGTTTTTCAGTATCCCGTGTCTGATCAAGAATTGAAATATGACTGACTTTTTGACATTCAATACATCCATTCCATGTTTCAGATCATCTAAACTCTACATAAATTAGTATATTCCTGTTAAATTGAACTTTTCCCAACATTTCATCGATTAATTGTAATTTGTTTATACCCTTCTCAATAATTTTTCACTCGTATGGAGACGTTGTCATTGATAGACTTTTTTTCCGTACGATTCTCTTGGATATGAAGTGTTCTCATTCTTTAGTCCTTTGAAACATTTCAAGTTCGTGTTGGCTTCTTCTACTACCACAGTAATTGGTTTTTTGTTCTTTCTATTCAGGTTTGATCAATGAAACACTGGACATGATAAACTCGTTACACACAGAGAACTATTAAGACGAGTTCCTTTGATTTCATTTTCTCGACATTCTCTCTTCTTCCAGAAGAGGGAGCTTATGAAAATCTTTAGCGCATATTTTGTTATATTTCGAGCAGGAAAGATAAGATAATGAAAGATCATGTCGTTTTGGCACAGCCTTGTGCAATTGTAATTGCTTAGCACTATCTTATCAATTTTTGTACCTTTTGTTCTAAAACTTAAACATGTACAATATTTGCTTAAAATGACAATGATTTTTTAAGCTACTTGAGCTTAACAGCTTAACCTATAAATTTGTGAATCTCTCTGTACCTCGAAAACAACGAAAATGAACACCTCCCCCTACGAAAATAAGTGATTTAACAGTATTTACTTTTGAAAGTATTTTGCGGCTAATCGAAGACATTTTTAATTTCTTCATTTCTTATATAATTAATCGCAAGATCAGATTAGAGTCTACAGAAAAGTGTGCGTTGTGTACAGATATAAACCCACACCTTTAACAAAAGAAATCACACCTAACTATGGTACAACTTACGATAAGACATGAAGATAAAGGAAAAAAAAACAAGAACATTGTATCTGAGGTTTATTCCACGTTTTATTCAATTTCTAAACATCAAAGACACATTCACACAATATTTACATAAAGTTTAACAGATATCCAAATATTACATAAATACACCTTATATTTTAATTAACATAATTACTTATGATCAATACACAATTTCTGATTCTCCAAGTGTCATGTTTCAAAGTATTTCTGGTGTAAGAAAGATAACTCTTACAATTCATTATTGTTTCGATGATTACAATCCTGTTGCAATCCAGACATTTTGCTATAATTTCAAAATAAAGCAGTGCAACAAAGCCTGGTTTCAATACTAAGCAGGGTATCAACGTATTTATAAAAAAAAAACCTTTTCCAGTCAAATCCAAATATCCTTCTCAAAGCAAAAATGATTATACTTGAGGTAATTTGTTCAATATTGAATTCTGCAATATGAAACAGATAAGAGTTCCACAACCTTGATTTTTTTTTAAAAAAAAGGAAATATTTTTTTATGCAGTTTGTGGTATTCTTTGCAACTCCGTCCAACCGAGCTTTCCATATCCTTTTTCTAAGGAAGATGAAAATGAGATTTAAATCTTTGTTTCTTGTGAGTCCCTTCCTTAAATGTTTTTTCTGCCTCTTCTTTAGAGATGAATTTAACCCTCAGTTCTTTATTTCTTCAGAGTTCCTCCTTTCAGTATGGTTTCCACCTCTTCCTTTGTAAGTGTCTCATACTTCTTCAGATACATACTCAAAACATTCAGCTCCGCTCTATGTTTCTGTAACACAGTCTGAGCTCTTTTGTACGCCTCCTGTAAATTGGATAATAATATGTGAATTTTTGGACAATAACTTTTCAAATAACACATTTTAGATGTATTATAGTCTTCTTAAATTACAAACAGAGAATTAAACTCTCTGCTTAAAAGAGCAAACTGTCAGCTACACTTTTTTAAAAATAAATTTCTTACAGACTCAGTATCTGGTTATTTTATTGTATTTGGTAAAAATGTGATATCGCCGAGTGCACAATTAGGGGTTTTTCAGTACATCTAGAAGTATAAATATAATCTTTAAACCATAAAATTAAGATATTGGCTATTTCATTATTTCCTCCACCAATACCTAAAATAAATATTTTTTTATTGTGGGCAACTGGAGGTTTATCTGTTGGAGATACATGTACATGTAGTATTAAAAGTTTTCAAGGAGTAATCTGGTTATTGAACAAATTTTTAAGAATGCGGATGGTTTCGCTCCGATTACGTGTTCGCGCCGAGTGGTTTCGCTCCTATCACTTGTTCGCGCCGAGTGGATTCGCCCCTATTGGTTTCTACTGTATAACTGAAGATACCACTTATCGGATAGTCGTTTGATTATTATATATAATAAGATATTATAAAGAAAAGGTAATTGCAATGGAATGGGAAGTCTTTAAGAATAATCGTCTTAATTCATGCAGAAAAATCCTTGTTCTACATAATTTATTATTATGCTTCCTGTCAGTATGTCTCTATATAACCCATACCCTACTATTCTCGCATAGTGGTCTAAGGATTTATATAGCGTAAGCATACTATGCCGAAATAGTGCACGGCTTTATTTACTGAATAAAATTCTTCCATGCACATGCCGGGGATCGAACTCATGACCATGAGATTGTCAGTCCAATGCCTTATCGATTACGCCATAGAGACGATCACTGATTGTATTAATTTTATTAAATATATAAACTTAATTTATACAATTGACACAAGAAGGAGAAAATAGACAAATATTATTTGAAAACAGTTATATCATTCTAAGGAACTTTAGATTAATGTGCACAACAAACTTTCAAACTAATTACATACAGATCGTTAGATGAACTGATTTTATAGAGTCATTAAAACGCTTTTTTATATGACGCTTGATTGAAGGATGAAAAAGAAAATTATCAATGAGAATCGACGTCTGCAAACAAATAAGGCTTACGAACAAAACAGAAAATAAAGATGTGTTGCTTTGGGACACAAAATCCCGACTTATTTAGAGAAAATACTAGTAACCAAAATAACTAAGCATGCAAACAATTTTAGCATGAATATTTTGAATGAGTCCTTGCAAGTGCGCTGTTTAAGCACCGATATTTTCAGGAAAAAGTCCAATAGATTGCCGCATAATTACAACAGTCAGCATAATAATAACAATAGTGTTGCATTATGCATGTACTATGCCTAAATATTAGGCAGGGTTTGACACATGGTGCGACACATGGTGCACTCGCCTCCGGCTCGTGCACCATGTGTCAAACCCTGCCTACTATTTAGGCATAGTACATGCATAATGCAACACTATTATATAAATATAATTGTAAATCAAATGAAAAACAATGACAACCTTCATTGAAAAGTCAACGAGATTTGTGAAATAAATATTTATTTTAACATCTTGAATTATTCCAAATTAGACGATCAAATTTATTCAAATATAGTCATAATTTGGCTAAAATAGCCTCACTATAAGTATTGATACAAAATGGAATAATTATCCGACATAACACGACAGTAACGCTTGGGGTTCATTAATTACAAGCTACTAAGTTATATAATAACAGGTAATCGGGGGAAGCCATACTGTATACATACTACCCATACCTTACCTGTAGATAAACGGGGCAAAACCACTCGGCGCGATACCACTCAGCGCGAACACGTAATCGGCGCGAAACCACCCTACACCATTTTTAATATTCAAGATAGCTGTTAAAAACATTTTACTTCTCATACAGATTCAAGGATAAATAAAATTTTAGACAGTATTAAAAACATACATCATAGCTTTTTTTCTAAGGTGCACTGATTGTGATAAGAGAGATAACTCTTACTGACCCTTATAAATTTGTCAAGTATTAAAACTGTATTTTTGTCAAATATTGCCCCACAAGCTTTCCTAAAATTGTTTGTATTTTACTTTAACAAAAAACATTACTTTTTTTAAATTATGAGTTAAAGCAACATTTTATGAAAGAGTCTTAGCATCCCCTCTGTCAAATATTCAATATTAGTTTTAAGCTATTATTTACCCTGTAAAGCCTATAGCTTTAAGTTGATGTTACAGATTTCAGTTATAGTTAATGCTGACCTTGAGGAGTCTGTTAATTTCCTGGTTGATGAGATCCTGATACTCGGGGCTGGTCAGACCTTCATCTTCTCTAGAGTACACTCGTGTTCCCACCTAGTACATAATAAACATAATACACATATGAAAAAATGTACATCTTCCCTGGAGTACACACGTTCCCACCTACATAATAAACAGACCCATGTTTATAAGCATATCTTCATTACAGTAAACACATGTTCCCAGAGTTTCCGAAAACCAAATATTTCTATCAGTCATTCGGACTGATAACTTAATGCGTTCTACCAGTCCGAAGCATATTCTATCTGTCCGAATAAATTTTATAATATACAGTGTATATTTCATAATGTATTGTAAAAAAAGAAAATGTATTGTAAAAAAAGAAAATGGTTTTGGATGTGTAAATCTTTTCGTGGTTCCTCAACACAGTGATTGTCAATGTGATACCAGGGTTATGCAACTATAAAGAACTCAAGCATAGCACCTGCCCACACAGGCTTGTGGCAGCAATAAAATCACTAGCCCCAAGTAAATGTAGGGTGAAAGAAACAACTAATATGAAAAATATTCATTATTGAAAAAGCTAATTTCTTAAGGTTACTAGTATTTTTTTTTTATTAAAAGTTTAATTCTCACTTGTAAAATTGAATCATATATAAATATCAATTATAATAGAAATTCAAAACAAAAATATATGATTATCCTCACGTTTTCTCAGTGTGCATTGCACTTCATGACCTATACGCTGCATGTGTTTACCATTAACAGAGGAACGGAGGAAATTCGGATTAGGAAAAAACGATCGTTTTTGGAAGTAAATAAGTCAAGTAGGATTGCAAAATATATAACATTATGGATATTTACTAAGAATAGGAGCATGCTGCATTGAAAATTTTCATTTATGAAGACATCACAATAGATCAGAGTAAAATGAATTAATCAGGACAAGCCCCCCACCCCAATCGGTCACACGGACCGGTACTATAGCAAATTTCATCGGACATTTCGATTTTCTATCGGTTTTGCCGGTAGGACCGATAGTTTTCGGAAACTCTGTGTTCCTACCTGGAGAACGTATATGTCCCTACCCGCAAAAATACAGAATGATATACTTAAATTTATATCAATATTCCCTCTAGTAAACACAATCTACACAATAAATAAACATGTCAGATTCAGACATGCCTTTGTCAAGTTATTGATCTTGAAAAACAAATCATTTCCTCCTTTGACCATATCGTCAATCCTAACTTAGACCATTGACAAACAAACCTAATGAAAACAAATTCTCTAAGTTTCAACAACATACTATAATTAAGGGCTGTATACCTTTTCCGACATTCCACATTGAGTGACATAAGTCCTCGCTAAATCTGTAGCTCTTTTAATCGTAGGTGCACTTACTGAAACAAAATAATACAGGAAATTAAATTGTACAATTTTCAAAAGCAGCTTGCTTTTTTTTTAATTTAATTCTTCATCTGTTTGTGTTCTAGATACTCAATATACAGTCAAGTATAAGCATACATATAAATAAGCACAATTTATATCAAGATATAAACATGCTTTTAAGGTTATCATGAAATTCATCTCATGGGTTTAAAACCATTCTGCAAACAATTTCACTAAAAAGATTATCAGAAAGATTTTTTTTTCTAAAAATAAACAATGTATAATTTAGATTGTAAGAAGCACATGCAGAAATATAGTCTACGTACATGTTGTGATGTTATCCTTCCCAAACACCATTTCCTCAGCGACTCTCCCTGCCATATAGAAGTCTAACCGTGCTGCCATCTCCTCCTTGGTTTGGTTATAAATCTCTTTACTGGGCAACACTTGTGTCTAAAACAGTTTAAAGAAGCTTCAATAATTTTTTGAAACATGAAATACAGGTACAAAAATTAAGTTGTATATTGATGATTTTCACATTTACAAGATTTAATTCATTTTGAAGAGTCCATCTGGAGTCAACTAGCATAATTTTACCCAGTTTTTTCCCTCTATAATATTACAAACTTTGTAGGGCAGTGTGTTACAAATTAAATCTTTTTGTGTATACTCATTATGTTTTCTTTGGTATTCCGAGGCTATGGCAATACAGGAATTGCACAAAACTGTCTGAATACATTTTTAAAGGGTTAAAATATTTACAGGTAAATTTCAAAGAATTTAATGTAAAAGGATTGGCTACACCATCAAAGAGAGATAACTCTTATGGAGTATTATGGAGCAATTATCTTTTTTTTTTAGATAAATCTTCCTGACCAGTGTTTTGCATTTTACATGTAAATGCTATCCTTATGTATGTTAAATTCTGAAACCAAGAATCTTGGACATCAACTGCCAAGCTTATTAAAGAAACCTGCAAATAATATACAGACCTGTCCTAAACTGGTTCCCCTCCTCAGTATGGTGGTTTTATACAGCGGTATGGAGTGCTTGGTGTAATACGATACAATGGCGTGTGCTGCCTCTCGTACCGCCATCACTTCTATCATCTGCTGGTCTGTCAGTTTGGACGTCTTCTCTGCACCTAAAGTCATATATAAGAAGATGTTAAAATTTTAATTTAACTTAAAAGTTCCATTGGATCAAATGGATGTCAAATGTATAATTAAAGAGCATTTTGCGGAAGGAATAATCTTATCACATTACGCACAAGGCGTGGAATAAATTCAACATTGTTCAATACATTAACATTTTTTTGTTCCTTGCTAAGCCATGATACTCATAAGAACCATACATCTAGTTTTTTGGCAGTGCTTTGTATCCTCTGACAGGACCAGTCTTTTGCATATTAGATTCCAGCATATAATGCTAATAGCCAATTTCAACTGAGTGGTCTGATATTGCATATTCAGTGCCTTTTCAGAGGATAAATCTAAAACACAAGCCTTCAGCAGAATTTGAACTAGTGACTTTTCTGTTACCAGCCAACTACCAATTACCACTGAGCCACGTCCTCTACAGACATTTAGCGTTTTCATTACCATGTGGTTAGGAAATGAAATTTAATCATTCATCTATTCTGATAACTCCAACAAATAATTAGAACTTCTACCAATCGTACAAGTTCTAAATTGATAACCACCTCATTATAATTGAATATCTCCTATAAATCTGTTGCTTACCCATCATAATTTTATCCTTGGCAAACTCCATGTCTTTCATTGAGACCTCCGTTTGTCCGGTACGGGCTGCCTGGAAGGCGGCCTGATTCACAATGTTACTGATGTCAGCTCCTGAGGAATGGGAAAGAAAATCAGTTTGTAACAGACACTCTACAAGAATCAAGGATGAAGTAACCGGCAGTTCACTTTACCTCAGTTAAAATTATTAGATTGAATATTTAGTTAATTTTATTTGAAAGTTGGGAGTTGTTGGGTTTTCTGGTTTTCTGGGGGGGGGGGGATTGTATTTTTTTGGGGGGGGTCATACCTTTGAATTTCTCAAATAAATTTTTGGCTATAGAGTAACTTCATTATGAAACTTGAAAGAAATTTTTCAAATATTACAATGCCATCAATTAAGCATGAATTGAGTGATAGTGTGACTGAATGAAATACCTGACATCCCAAAAGTTCCTCTGGCAAGTTTGTTCACATCAATAGCTGTAAAACATGAACAGTATCACATCAGATAATATTTCACATCCATTTTGCTACTTAAAAAATAAATATAAAGTTATGCTTCAAGAAACCCCTGTTAGCATGCATTTATTTCAGCGAAACTGGTAAAATTGTCACATGAAATCAAATTATTTAATGTTGTTTACATCTTAAAGAATAAACACTTCTCTTTTACTGATACATTACTAACAGCTTTCACATCTAACTTTCTAGTACTGGCATTACTGATATTTTACTTACACAGAGCTGCCAACATTCTGAAATAACAAATAGTAAGGCGAGGTCTACGGACCACCTAGGCCCTCTGCCGCTGATGTTGATTGTAAATGAACATGCAATTTGAGGCATGTTTCTATTCTGTTTACTTTAAAACATTGACATGAATGTGATTGGCCTTCTAAAACCGAAATGATGATACAAGCAAGCGTTGTAAGAATAATGAATATATTATAATTGTAGAAACTATATAGACTGCCAGCTATGAAAATACGGGTATTATAAACTTTGAACGAAAAAAAACTGCAATCGGAAGAATATAGAGAGAAATCGTAAGGCGTATTTTAGACGCTGATTTCGTACGCCTTACGCCAAAATCGTAAGGGTTGGCAGCTCTGCTTACAGCTGTCATATCTGACTTTCTGGAGGTAGTGATGTTACTGATATATTACTTACAGCTATCATATCTGACTCTCTGTTACTGATACATTACTTACAGCTATTACACCTAACAACTTTCTGTTACTGATACATTACTGATACATTACTGATACAATACTTACAGCTATCACACCTAACTCTCTGATACTGATACATTACTTACAGCTATCACACCTGACTCTCTGTTACTGATACATTACTTACAGCTATCACACCTAATAACTTTCTGTTACTGATACATTACTGATACAATACTTACAGCTATCACACCTAACTCTCTGATACTGATACATTACTTACAGCTATCACACCTGACTCTCTGTTACTGATACATTACTTACAGCTATCACACCTAATAACTTTCTGTTACTGATACATTACTGATACATTACTTACAGCTATCACACCTAACTCTCTGATACTGATATATTACTGACAGCTGTCACACCTGACTTAATGGTACCGATGTTACTGATATATTACTTACAGCTATCGTATCTGACTTTCTGGAGGTAGTGTTGGAACAGTTCTTCTCGACCCTTCAGGTCTGGGAGTGGGACGGAAACAATGACATCAAACCGACCCGGTCTGACTAGAGCTCTGTTATATAGAAAAAATTATGTCTCAATCATAAATATAATTAAGCATCAAATGCACATGATTGACTATGAAATTAATTACACAAAATAAATGCAATGCAGATATTATTTTCCATTTCAGCTATGTCTTTGAAAGGCAGATTTATAGGTGGATGTTTGTATCCAAATTAATTTATTGGCCAATACTCTCAAAATGTTCAACTAAATAAAACATTATGAGCTGTGTTAGAACTTACTCATCTAAGAAGTTTGGTCTGTTTGTGGCAGCTATCACTATAACACCTGTCTCATTGTTAAATCTGTTCAACAACAAAAAAGACGGCTTAAAATTTTGGCATTAATAAAATTAGTTTTTAAACAATTCATTCAATGTCAATTCAAAAAAGAAAAATATATCATTACACATATATTATATTTTACAGTACAATCTCAAAAATAAATTATTTCAGAATATCAATTAATATCCAATTTTTAGAAGATTCCTGAAAAGTATTTTTAAACACATACAAGACTTAAAAATTGAAATGAAATTAAAATTGGTCTCAGTCCTCTTTCAATGTTAAAGAGCTTCCTGCAATTTATGAGAGACACTGACTCTCATCACAATTTTTCAGCTCCTCCCCCTTTCAGTTACAAGGTATGTGATTGGTAAGTTTGCATTGTGTCACCTACCCATCCAGTTCATTTAGCAGCTGATGTAGAGTCTGGTAGGCGAAGCTGTTGCTCTGTGACCTTTTGACCCCTACACTGTCTATTTCATCAATGAATATAATGCAAGGGGAATTGGCCTTGGCTGCATCTGTAAAAGAGTTTAATTTCTACAAGTCAGTGTGCTCACTGTAGAATCATCGTTTGTGGGTCATAAACGTCTGAAAATTAATTATAAGTATGTACTACATGGTCAGATATTTGCTGTAGAAATTTGTCATGTCATACTTATAGTGCTATTCAGACATAGCATAAACATTGACTCACCAAACAGATCTCTTATGCGTTTAGCACCCACTCCCACATACATCTCATCAAAACTGGAGCCGGCAGCGTAGAAAAAGCTCACACCCGCCTCACCTGTCAACAAGGAATCAAGAGATAATATTATACTTGCAGGTTAGAGGTGCACTGTAAGTAAAATCCACGTGTGTCGTCACTCTTTTGTTTCAAAAGTGCTCCATTATTTTCACGGAATGGAGAGTTACAAATTACATTGAAAACGGTTGTGTTCGTATTCTCCTTCCCATGCCTCTTAACGAGAAAAGAGCTTAGAAAATTTTATCAAGTTTTTTCTCACATAAAGAAATTTATTGTGCCCATGATGAGATTCAAACCCAGTACCCTCACCTATGGAGGCGGGTACTTATTTCGCCGAGCTATCGAAGCTGTTGAAATGCTTTTGATTAGAAAAACTTCAGGACACTATAATTTGCCATACTTTCATTAATATATAAATTAAATACTACTAATATGTTATGTATATTTACATTTTATCTTATAAATATTCTTTTAAATTATTATATATTTACAAACAATAAATACAAGCATTCAAAAAGGTGGATTTTACAGGGGTTAATATATTCCTTAAAAGTAATGGGTCTCAGCCCCTTCCGATCCTCTGCTCCATTACTTTTAAGGAATGGAGTATGTGCTTCTCGTACATAAACCCTTACATAATGTATTTCTAAGAAAAAGTTCAGTAATGTGCCTTTATGGTAAAGTGTCTGGGAAACCCAAAGTTTTGATTTATGTTTACTAGTTACCTTGCTCACAATTACAGGGTAGATCTGTTATTAGATAAATTCAGCTAAGGTGAATTAAAATTTTATTTCTACAATACGGTTCTTCGGGAAGGCAATTATGACATCATTTGCAAGTCACTTCGCATTGTGCTGAGCACATACATTTGATATAATGTCAGTGTCTGTACACATTTTAGCGATTTTCATTATTTCCGTAAGTTTGTTTTCCGTTCAAAATTAGCACAAGCACTGATATGTGGTCTATGACTTTATTTTGCCCTTCATTCAAAATTTCATTTGAATTAGTTTTAGTTGGGTGTCCATATGTATTTAATGTAAAGTAATAAAATGTGCATTGAAATTAATTAAAATTAAACTAATTAGCATTAATTTCTCTGCCTGTATTCAGTTTGAATTCAATTTTTTGTAGTAACTTTTATTTAAACATTAAATTCGTATTAAAATCTACATGTGCCCAGGGCATAACATACAAATATCTGGTTTTCATGATGTTTTGTCTGGGAAGCTTCACATAGTAAAAGATCTAGAGTTAAACATTATGGTTTTTTTGGGGAATGGGGGTGTTATATATTCCTTTTTATTTTATAAGCAGAAAAAAAATTCCATGAGATCTGAATAAGACTTTACATGTACTAAGAATGACTTGTCCACATTTGAGTTACCTGCAGTAGCCTTAGCAAGAAATGTCTTCCCACAACCAGGGGGTCCCACCATCAGCACACCTGTGGAGTAAAGTCATGTGATTATAAAAGTCATGTGATTATAAAAGTCATGTGACAATTAGAGCCAAGACTAGTGATGATCAACATCATAGTCATGTAATTGAACATGTGACTTTTAAAAAAATTAATTGATCCAATCATGAGATTTTTAAAATTTTCTTTGATACTTACTATGACGACATTAATGAATTATTTGTCACAACAAGCTTTTTCTATATAATTTTTACCTTGCTATAAACTCCAATCTTGGAATATCTTAAAGTTGAATATTGGTCTGACTGAGTTTGATATTAAACACAGACTAAAATAATTACTCAATGGTCATGAGAAGTGAGCAAGGTCTTCATTCATTTTGTAGTTTTCCCAGGCTATTTGTGGTGTCCCGATGTGAGAGGGAAAATTCTCAAATGGACATAAATCAAGGAAACAAATAACCAAACCAGTTGTGTCCAGTATAGTATACCTTTAGGAATCTTGGCTCCCATGCTGGAATATTTTTTCGGATCTTTTAAAAATTTGACCACAGTCTCCAACTCTTCTTTAACTTCATCAATCTGTAAAATTTGTTTTTCTTTCAATTATCTATATTAATTTTGTTTCCATGAAAAATAAATTACTTGAGTAGATATTCAGATATTCCTTTACTGAAAATAAATTTTGCTTCTAATGAACAACATGAAGTTGTGATGAAGTATCTCATAAATACAGAATACAGGTATACATTCAATAGGAAATTTTAGTGCTATTTCTTTTGTTTAAAAATTTTTATTTTATCTTGATCATGTTCAATATAATATCACTTCTAACTAATATTTTTAACTCTAACTGTACAATCTTTATATTTAGTTCTCTTTAAACCAACCCTTCCCCCCTCCAAATGACAAATTCGAGCCAACCCATATAAGTTATCTTCAATGAATAATAAAAATCATTTCACAAACTTGAATACATTTGTAATGGTTTGGGCCATAGATATTGGTCTGGGTGGATGTAGCTCAGACATTAGAGCACCTGAATAATGATGCAAGGGTCCTTGGTTCGAATCCTGGTCCAGCCATACATTTTCTCCTTTCTTGTTACAAAATTATAACACAGTACTACACCACAGACAAACTTTTTCATTTGAAGGCATGTACATACCCCCTTAACATGACTGAAATAATATAGCAAATGTAGCCCTTTCATTTGGTCAATCCATAGATATATTGACTTCACAGAAAAGCATATCAACCTCTCACTTGGTGCTCCGTCGATATGCTTTTCTGAGAAGTCGATATATCTATTGATCAACCTCATGAAAGGTCTATATTTGTATAGTATTTTATCAGCAATTTATCTGAATTCCTGTACTTACCCCTTTGACATGACTGAAGTTGATGCCGGTCTTTTCGGGGTGGACCACCATGTAGTTATTAGCACCACCTGCTGGCAGATTGATAGATACCTCCAGCTTCTTACCTGGACAAAAGAAATAAAAGGAATTGAACACTTGATAGATTCTAGCCTGTTCATTTTTTTTTTTCATTGCACAAATGTTTCCTATAAATATATCATCAGAGTATATTTAGAAGAAAACACAGTCACTGTTAACATTGACTGGCCAGAAATCCCAGACTACCATCTTACCTCTCATGTAAAATGCCACCAACAGCACTGCAATGGTGATGACTCCCAGCGTCACTATTCTTACTTGGTGCCACTGTTTACGTTTAGCGTTCAGCTGCTGTAATTCCTGCTCTATCTCTGCTATGTGTTTCTTGATTTTCTTCTCCAGTTCGTCTGGATTCAAAGATTGTGTGATCCCAATCTGTACAGTGTAATCAGAATTAGAAAGATACAAGAGTAGATCTAGATTTATTACTAATTTTTGTACACTCAGATCTGTAGATGTGACATTGGGTAATAAATATCGCAAATGATTTAAATGAATTTTGAGAGGTGATTCTCTCTCTCTCTCTCTGTGTATGTGTGTGACCCTTTTCTGCAGAAATATTGTACAGTTTTACATCAGAGATTAGTGAGAGATTTTAATCATAGTCATCTTTTTGTCATACTTATATATTTTTTTAGCTGTCATTATAACTATAAATGTTAAACTGCACAAGTTACCTTTACGAATAAGTCAAGAGGGCTCACCCAAATTTAATATCTCGGGAACATTTACAATTTCAAAAGTTGCTTTTAGTTTTGAGATACCAGTATATGACTATTTCATTTTCTGACTATTAGAAAATCAAAGTACATGTAGTATTTTTGCAGCTGTTGAAAGGGCATTTCTGTTCAAACTTTTAGCATTCTCATTTAAATTTCAAAATTACCTGCGACTGTTTATCTTTATTTAGCCCCAAACTTTTGGATCCAATGTCTTTAATGGCACCTGTAAAATCAAAATTTTGTGCTCAATTTTGCAGATAACACTACTAACTATTTTCCAAGGTCATGTTATGACCATGTAGAATATATTTTTAATACAATTGAACTTTTGTATCTCAGCCAATAATGTCAACCCAAAATAGGTTTGAAGTTTTTGAAAACATTTTAAATTTATCCTAAAATGTTTAAATGTCTAAGTTTTGTTGGCCTAAAATTATCTCATCAAAGCACCATCGAGGTTTGTGTCAACTCAGTAGAGCAGTGACAGGATAAAGTAATGATAATGATAGCACAAAGGTAGAAAGCAATGGCAAAAGACTGCAATAACAATAAAGCAATGATACTATGACAATGATGTTCACTTTTGTTCCATCATGCCATTCCACCATTGTCATTACATTGTTAGGCCATATTGAGTCCTCATCATCACTCTATCGCATCATAGTGTCATCGTTATAAAGCCGTTACTTACCTAGATTATTCTGTTGGAAAATTGAGCCAAGGTTTATTGAGGAACCTTCAGTTGTTTTCTGGGTCTGAAAATAAAAATTAATATCAATCATTCATATGTTGCTTCATTTTTTTTTTTTGCTGCTTAATTTTAAAATTATAATGTATTTTTAAATAACATGCTTACAGAAATTTAAACGCATAAAAAAAATCAACATATCAAACTAACAAACAAAAAAATTGACACAACAAATTTAAATAAGAAACACATAAAACACTCACCTCAATTTGAAAAAAAAAATTGGATGAGAATCTAGAAAGTTTTTTTAACTGTAAAGTGTGAAAATTTGCCACATAGATACATATTTTAGTGGAAATGTATTGGCACATTAAGTAAATTTTAGGATTTCCAATTGTCATTAAAATCTTATTTAATGTTTTATACTTTTTTCCTCTGATCCACACCCATAATTTTTTTGTGGTCACTTAAGCACGCAAACACATCAATTTCTTACTCATGTACACAAGTGAACAATCAAACTTGATATTTTTTATCAACTATAACACTTTGTTGAATGGAAACCAATGCTTTTAGGTGTACAGATGTAGTAGTGATGGGGAATCGGAAAAAAAATCAGAATCGATTATCGGTAATAATCGGCTGGGCATAATCGATTATTAATCGATTATAATCGAAATTTTGAACTTTAATGAAATTAATATAGAAAAGTTAAAATTTATTCAGATTTCTGTCAGACTTTTACAAAAAAAACATTTACTTACATAAAATATTCAAAAATAATAACTGAAATTTCTTTTTTTAAAAGTGGAAAATAATATTTATTTTGTTTACGTTAAAACAATATAGGACTATTGAAACAGAATAGGAATTTATTATTATTTTTTTTTACAAAGTCCATGCAGTGGGTATTTTACTGATATTAGTCCCACCTTTCATTTAATACATGTATCTATTTCTTAAAATTAGTTTTAATTAGTTAAAGTTGCAAGTTTTGAAAGTAATTATCCAGAAGTTAGACTTGCATTTATGATTATAATTACATTTAAAGATTGACTAGACTAATTGTCCCCCGCTTTCGCGAAAGCGAGGGGACATTAAATCTCATTCGTCTGTCCGTCCGTCACAAAAACTTTAACCTTGCCCATAACTTTTGATTTAGTGGAGCTATGATTTTCATATTTCATATGTGTATTCCTTGTGATAAGACCTTTCTTTGGGTACCACCAAATTTGACCTTTTGACCTTGACCTTGGAGTTTGACCAACTTTTACTAAAAAATTCCAAACTTTTACTTTGGCCATAACTTTTGAATGGTAGGTACTAGGACTTTCATATTTCAAATATTTATTTCTTGGGACAAGACCTTTCATTGGATACCAACAACATTGACCTTTTGACCTTGACCTTGGAAATTTACGTACTTATGAAAAAACTATAACCTTGACCATAATTTTTGAACAGTAAGGGCTATGGCTTTTATACTTCACATAAGTTATTCTTGTAAAAAGACCTTTCATCAGATACCAAGAACTTTGACCTTTTGACCTTGGAGTTTTAACTACTTTTTAAGAATTATAACCTTGGTCACAACTTTTGAACAGTAGATACAAGGGCTTTTATATTTCACATATGTATTCCTTGTGGCAAAACCTTTCATTGGATACCAACAACTTTGACCTTTTAACCTTGACCTTGGAGATTTACATACTTCTGAAAAACTTTAACCTTGACCATAACTTTTAAACGGTAAGGGCTAGGGCTTTCGTACTTCACGTATGTAATCCCTGTGAGAAGGCCTTTCATTGCATACCAAGAACTTTGACCCTTTGACCTTGGAGTTTAAACTACTTTTTAAAAACTTTAACCTTGGTTACAACTTTTAAACGGTAGAAACTAGGACTATCATATTTTAAATATTAACATTCTTTGTGGCAAGACCTTACATGTGATACCAATAACTTTGACCTTTTGACCTTGACCCTAAAAAATAATATTTCGCCCACAAAGACACCGAAAGCGGGAGACCACAATTCTTTGAATTTGCTTGTTATGTTTTCCTTTCTATAGTAAAACATTGCAATACGGCTACCTCAAAACGGATGCGCGTGGGCCTGAGAACCAAGATTTCAATTTTATATGGCCTTACCGTTTCCTGGTATTAGTCTAACCCCATATTTAATCATGGCGGTAAAAGTATCAACAAGGTACGAAATCCTTCCATGTTTTCAACATTCATCACTACTTTTATGCTCTTTGCACTTGGATTTGGGAATAAATTTAAAGTATGACAATTTTATTTTTTGTTAGCGATATCGGCGACATTTATTTTATAATCGATTAGTAGCATTGAAGAGCTTCTAATGACCGACAATCGATTGTCGACGACAATCGTTCCATCACTAAGATGTAGTAGATGTTACTTTTTTGTAGTATAAAATGATTATCATAATGGAAATGCACGGTTTCTATTTTTTATCAGAATCACTGTTACTTTTCGTCTGTCAGACCGGCTCCATCTGTGCCTGGATTCTCCCGTGGCTGTGACATAATAAACTCTCTGTCCCCATCTACATGTACAAGACACCCCCACAGGTCTGCTGAATATAGTATGTAACTGAGAAATGGCTCGCTCAATCTAAATAAATAAAAAGAGGTTCATTATGCAAGTAAAACAGGTCCAGGAAAATCACTATATTTAACTATATAGCTTAATTTACCTATATAATATAGCTTTATTTAGCTATTTTAGAACAAGTTTCTGTTTTATGAAAAGCAGACAAAAAGTCGCATGAAAATTATGGCTGATATTTTTTTTAAAAGGTTTGATAAAAACAACCTAGGGCATAGGTAGTCAAAACATTGCCTCTTTTAAACAATTTTTAACCAAAAAATGCATCTCTATAATTTGGATAGCTGTCCCTCAATAAGGGTGCGATGAGGCATGACTATGTGTGATTGCCTTGCATTGTGCTGAATTATAACCAATCAATTATCTTGTTTTCTTTGTTAAAGAAGCTGCTTACTCACAGATTAACTGTTAAACATAGCCCCAAAACTTTTAGATCTTTGACTGCAAATTTGCAATTGCACAAAAGGAAAAACATTTTTAAAAGCGGGTTTTTGCTGAATTGTTTTCAGTCCATTTTAAAGTCGAAAACTAATACTACCTCATTATGCGACTTTTTGTCTCCTTTTCATAAAACAGAAATTTACTCTGAAATAGCTAAATAAAGCTATATTATATAGGTAAATAAAGCTATATAGGTAGATTTAGCTATATAGCTAAATATAGTGATTTTCCTGGACCTGTAAAAATATATCACCTTCACTGGTTTGCAATGTAACACAATGATAGGAAACCCATCTTTTCTGCTTTTTTCTTGTGTAATTCACATTTAAAAATTTAATAAGAAACTTTGCTTCCCAATGCTGAGTTTGAAATATTAAAAAAAAAATAAAAACAACAACTACAGCTTGTTATTTTACCCGTAAACAGGTGGATTACATAAGCCCAAATCCGTCAATTTTTTTTCCATCCGGATATATGAATTTTATTAACCTGTAATTGTCTTGAAGTCATTTTGATATACTATAACATCTGCATTCCAACATATCATCTAGATGTGACGATTCTTTGTTTCTCTCTTGCCATGCAATCAGCACATTTTCATCGATCATCGACTCAAATCCGAAGCCATGAATTCTCATCGGAAGTAAATCTGACCATGAAGTTGGCGAGTCGATAACTAACGGAAAATTTAATTCCGTATTTACTCTGACAGAGAGTAACGAAAAAAATGTACATGCGAGATAGACTTTAAACAAGAAAAGAAATACTCCCTGGGTGCAACTATCATCAAGGCTTGTGAACCAGTGCACACTCTGCTTTAATCATGTTAAAGCCCATTTTGGATTTACACGACATTACACATAGATCTTCCGTACACGCGTTTGTACTTGCAGCCCGAAGTGTTGGTATATGGGGAGTGAGTAGTTATTCAGAATTTAATGTTTTCTAAACATTGAAAAGATTGTTCATCCGAATGTTCTTTCCCTTTATAAATTACGAAATACATAATATAATTATTTACTTCCAAAAAGTGAATCTGTTAAAATGTATAATATGTTTTTCATATTTAATACATAAAGTTGCTTATCATTTACTATCGAAAAAACGACAGGTCCTTTTTTTTTTAGAACATCGAATTTTACTTCTCGCATTAAAACGGACTCTGCGCAGTCCGTGTTTTGAAAAATAATACGTGTCCAACTTCAATTTATATTTTATGCAGCCAACATTTATTTTAGGAATTGATCAAATTTAAAATAGTATCGCTTTTGTTTGATTTTTATCCGACTATAAGTTTATAAAGTATTCGATACTATCGTCTCCATCTATTAGACGTATATCTTTTCACTTTTCAAAGCGGTTTGATGATCAAAATTCATTACCGTTGTTTACTTTATTTATTTCCCGGGCGACAATTGATGGTTACATCAATGTTTTCTTGTTGTTAGTTGACATGTGTATTTAAGGAATAACTGTCTTATTTTTCGAATTCATGAAGTGATCAATGGATTGGCTTGTGTGATAATTTGCATAAACGCCGAAGGCGTTTATGCATAAAATTATCACACAAGCCAATCCATTGATCATCTTCATGAATTCGAAAAATAAGACAGTTATTCCTTATATTTACATGCTTTGATTCCGCCAATCCACGTGCTCCAAGCCTGCTTCTCTCTAGGTGTTGTCCTGCCCTGCACGTGGTTTTTTTTTTTTGGAACCGCGCCAAAACATTCATGAGGAAATCAATTACATTTACAATTGGTAATTTTATCTCGGACAAAGACATTGGAAATTTAAATATATGTATATAAATACATGTATCACGCCTAAAACGAAATTTCAAATGTACTGCAGCGCAAAGAGAACGTGTTATTTCTATTTCCAACTATGATATGTAAAAAGAGTCTAATAGACCCTTTTCCTATGACATATTTTGCCTAGGAGTTATTCCCCTTAGCCGCCATCTTGTAGGGCAAAGTAGTGAATTTACCTCTTTGAGCAACCAAATTAAAACATGCATGTAAGAAATATATGGGGGGAAATATTTTCAATCTTAAAATTATGAATTATTAGAGGCCTTGACAAACGTATATTCCTAAGAAAAATAGTGTTATCTTTACCCCAATAACCAGTAGAACAAATTGAGCTTGGATGAATAATGAAGGGATTGGATATGCTGCCCTACAATATGGCGGCTAAGGGGAATAACTCCTAGGCAAAATATGTCATAGGAAAAGGGTCTATAGACATTGAAAACTCATGTCTACGACTCTTCATATCTGAATCCAGTGTCTTTAAATTTATGCATTGCGTTACAAGAAAGTGCGTCGAGAGAACGAGGCAGGTGCTTGGTGTACAGTTAATTTAACTTTACCTTGAATAAAAAAAAACGTCAAGTTTTCACGAAATCTTTTTTTTAAAGCAGGCTGTTTAATTCATTCGCCTCATAATGACAGATATATTAACTCGATTTCATAATCATATACGCTGTACTCATAAAGCATTTCACCAATTACACTTGTAGCATTATATATCTCTTTTTCCCACGGACACTTGTTTAGAATGTTTATTCAAACTTCCTTCATCAATATTCCTGAAAAGGCATAAATATTTCATTGCAAATTCTTCTAAGTTGCTTTATTATTACAAGGACTTGTTACAAAATTTTATAGAGATTAACATAACACGTTTTTCAAGTACATGAATGTCACAAAAAATTGCGTGCATCTCTTTAATTAATCAAGATTTGTTTCCAATGAGTGATATTGAAAATAGTGAGTGACTTTGTACAAGTTGTGTTCCGCTGAATAAATGGCCTTATTGCATAATCAAGTGACAGAATTAGCGAAAAATAAAACGTCAGTTTTGCAAAATGCATACCTTAACAGCCATACAGTAAGAATTTCCTTAATTAACAACACATGCGGAGTCAAAAGTTAAAGATACATATGTATTCGAGGAAAAATACTTTTATTTGATGGAGTAAATATATGAATTTTATTTATTTTTTTTTCGTTCGAAAATAACAATTTCGTTGAAATATAAGTAAATTGAACAGAATCAAAAACATGATTTTGTTTTAAGTCATAAAATGATGCATAATTAATTAAAAAAAAAAGCCAAGGCTCTCTCTCTCCCTCTCATGATAATAGGGAAATACTATGACCAGCAATTAAAAGATTAAAGCTTCAATCAGGTAGAATTATGCGGAAATCTAACATTGTGGTTGATAAAATGGAACGAACAAGGAAGTCCCAATGCCTATACAACAGTGCAACAGCTTTGCTTTCATCTTTTGAAGTTTTGAAAAGAAAGGCTTTTCAACATATGGGTATGTATTAGGTCTGTATTTCTGTTTCTCTATAACACTTTTGTCTCCACGCTATTTCCGAAAAAAGCCTTAGCGCTTTAAATTTTGAATAAATAGCAGGGGAAATTTCAGTGACCTTTCGGCCACAATTAAGGTACATGTACATGTAAAAGATTAAAGATTACAATTCAACTGTGGACTCGTAAAATCCGAAATGATTTCGAATTTCTAATTTGTAGAATGATGATAATTGTTTTAGAAAAAAATTATTAATGAATTCAAATGATCTTTTATTTACATCAGAAATTAATTAGCGGACATCGATGGACATGGATTTTTGTCAGAATGCCCACACATATAATATAAACATAAAAAAGATGTTCTTATTTTCTCCAGCTCAAATAAAGTTTCATATTTACAGTGTATGTCCATTTAACAAATGCACTTTGTCTATAAATGCGGTTAGTTTTCACGAAAATATGCAGTGAAAAAGAAAAGAAAATTTAATGTTTTTGTCTTTCGTTCTACATGTTCTAGAAACTTAATACATTTATTATATTTATTGTAAAGAACACGGTTCATTAAAGACAATATTTGCCCTGTGAATTCTTGAAAAAATGAAACAACTCAATTTTAATTGACAATGCATAAATAGATGGTCGGCGATAAAGAATATACCAAAAATACGAAATTTTCCCGCCATTAGAAATGTTGAGGTCTTAAACGTGTATGCGTATGTTTTCTTGTGCTTATCTTTGACGTACACTTACACGTTTTTCTATTTTGTCAGTTGAGATTAAACGATATGTAACAGTACTTGTGCACCGCGATTGCTGTCTTTGTTTTTACTATTTCAAAGTTTTGTGACGTCAGTTTGATATGAGTTACGTTAGTAAGGTAAGTGCTCGTTAAACAGGTCTGGACGATTTCTAAATAAGGAAGTCAAGAACGATAACCGTGAATTGCTATTAATACACAGAATAAACAAGGCACTAATCCAGCTGGCCAATCAGATAACAGCATTTAAACAAACCCATGAGAGAATAAATAAAACACGTGGTTTTTAAGTTTTTTGCTCAAAAGATTTTTTTTAAACAAACTTTTTGTAAACTTTATGCGCATTTGGGAATAATATAATATTTATGACAATTTTAGCGTGAACAAACACGACTTGAAAGCTTGGAATACGTTTTAAGTGGGATAAAAAAAATCTGTTTCTAGAAGTTAACAATTTCAAAAGTTTACCTACGTTAAAAAAAAAAAATGATATAAGTACGGTAATTTTTTAGTTTTTAGAGCCTGGCATAAAAATCTTATCGAAAAGATAACAGTCTTTATTATTTTTGAGTGTTTATTACAGAATACTAGTAGTCCATGCAGTTTCTGATATGCGAGGTCAGTAAGATATTGGGATAAAACGTATTCATGTATAATTACAGGATTCTCTTTTCTCCACGTTAAACGCCTTTCCTTATTCCCATTTAAAGTCTGCATAGCTAAGTATTCGGCGCTCATGAAACCCGTGATAATGCAAAACTATATGTGTATACTCCATACGATAAACACTTGTTTGAGTTGATCTATACACATGGAATTTAAGCATTATCGATGAAAATCGGACGGCTAAGCAAAATTATATTTACCATCATATAATATATTCTGGTAAATGTTATAATTGAACTTGATAAAAACTTGCTGGTGCGATCTATATCTCTGTAAACGATTACATTCTATTGTGCATTTTTTTTCTTTACCGAGATAAAAATGTCAAGGTTGTTCACGGTAAAAATGTGGGGAATACCTTATTCTTCAAAAGTTTTCATCTTACTTCTACAGATTTTTTGTTAAAAAAATCTTTTTGAGGAAAAAAAACAAAAGCACGTGTTATCTTTTTGTTCTTTTAAAATATGTTTTGGGGTGTGTAATGCTGTTGTCTGATTGGACAGAAAAATAATTACGTGTACTTGATGTACATTTATAGCAACTTTCGGTTATCGTTCTTGACTTCCATATTTAGAAATCGTCCAGACCTGTTAAACTAAACATCCTAAATAATAGATAACAACTACAATTTCACACACAAATTGACTAATTTTAATTATTAAAACTACAAGTTTTCAATTACGTGTAGATGTCATTCTACAAGTTCTAAGAACGTGTAGGAATTTTGACGTCACTACAATTAATGACGTAATACATAAAAAAATTAGGTTATTTCCTACTAGACGTACCCCATCGTCGCAAACCACGGCCAAAATATACGCTCCTCTCCCATTCTTGCCGTGGTTGAATGAGCAGAGAATTCTCAGCAGCTCATTTAAATATTGACCAATGAGAATGAAGCAGAGTCGAATGGTGAACTTTATCGCGACCATTCAATATCCAAGAGCAGTGAAGGAAATATTTCTTGTATACTGTTGGCGTCAGTTGCTGATTTCGATTGCCATGGAAACAAAACTTGCCACAGACTTAATATGACGTCACAATAGAGAGGCGTAAATATTCAAGATTACGACACTTTTTGTGATCAAGCAGCCACGGGTAGGAGAGAGCTATATACATGTATATGCGGACACCGGACCGTGGCTTGAGACGATGGACGTACACGTACACGTACATGTTAACAGTTTGAAATCTCAACCTCTCTAATGTATTATGACGTCTTGAATTACGCCATTTTCATCATATCCTTTTTTACAAAAGAAAATTTTGAGCTCTAAATTATATCTACACTGTTTAAACCACTTTTGAAATAACGTTTATTATTTGAATAGTGGTAATAATAGTGGAAGTGCATTTCAAAACCAAACAGAAATCGAAATAAAGATTTCAATAGTGAGTGAAACATAAACCTGTGTTTGGTTTTGAAATGCACTTCCAACCACTATTGAAATAATCATTTCAATACTGTACGTTATTTCAATAGTGGTTGAAACATTGCACCTTGTTTGTATGATGAAAATTTGAAAACACTATAGTTCTGCAGTTAATTCAATCCCCATGTTTTAATCAGAAGTCTCAAAGGATATTCCAGTTATGGACTGGACAAAATATAATCGAAGAAAAGACGAAAACTTTCCTTACACTGGTATAAAAAAAAATAATCTTTAAAAACTGTTGATAGGGAAAGGATTTTTGTGTTGAAATGTCCTAAAACTATATACGCTAGCTTTTAGTCTTCTTTAAAAAATGCAAAAAAAGTGCATGTAGTCCTCTTTCGCAGAGTATAATTTGATTATTTGCACTATATAGTAAAACCAGAAGTCTCTGTCGAGACTGTAGCTCTACTGGGTTGTACTTATGATAAAGGAGAAAAGAAGCAGTCTGGACTTAAAACTTAAAGAAAAGCAATAAATAGAATAATGATCCTTGAGTAAGTCTCTTTTTGTGGCAAGACAGAAAAAAGACTACAACTGGAGGAGTAGCTTTTGATAAAAATCTTCAATTTTAGTTACCATGGCAACATCAATCATCAAAATTAAAAGCACAAAACTGATAATTATGTATCTCCGTGTAGTCTACTTCCATGCCAAATTATATTATAATCTGACTTACATGTATTTCACAGAGATTTCTATATGTAGTAACCACTGCAACGCCGTTCATCTAAATCAAAAACCGATACCCAGAATTATTTATCTTAGTATAGGCTACTTGTGAGCCAGGTTATATTGAAATCAGATCAAAACTGCAAGAGGAGTAGCAATATGAAAAATTGTTTAGGGACAGACAGACAGACAGACGGACGCATTACTATCGCATAAGCTCTTCTGTTCTCTGAACAGTAGAGCTAAAAAGTATAATGCTAGCTCCCTATACCTTTAGCTATCCAGTATTTTAATGTATTTTGCGATTTCTTTTTCTTTTGCAGACAAATGGATATCCTACCATACCTATTGATAATTTTAACAACTATCGTAATCGAAGGACAATGTACACCAAATTCAACTTGTTCCTCAGTAGGCAGTTGCTACTGCTACGAAATAAATGGATATACCCATGCTGATTGCTCTTATAGAGGACTCTTAGTTGCTCCTTCGTTTCGTCAAAATGTAGTCAGTGTAGATTTTAGAGGAAATCTCTTTAAAGAATTTCCCAGCAATCTTACCAAGAACATAAGATACCTAAATCTGGCAGACAACTTCATCGAAATGATAGAGGACAGAACATTATTTTCAAATGCATCATTGAAAAATCTGATAAATTTGGAAAATCTTACTTTGTCAAACAATACTCTTCGTTTTATTGAACCTGGAGCCTTTCAATATACAACCAAATTGCGTCATTTGGATCTTTCGTTCAACTCTGAACTTTCTCTTTCTACTCTAAAACATTTAGCATATGATTTGAATTACACAGATATTAAAGTGCTTAACTTGGAGAAGGTGCAGTGTACCTATGGTCTAAGTAAGGAAGTATCTAAAGAACAAGTTCAGTATCTCACCTACACTGCTTTAGAGGAATTTAATATTGCATCAAATAGAATCAGTTTCTTTGAATTTGGTATGCTCTCAATATTACCGAATACACTTCGAAAACTAAATGTTGCTGACAACATGCTTCAAGTTGGAATCTACTTGTTTAATTTAGCCCACCTCCCGCATCTTGAAATACTTAATGCAAGTTTTCAATCCAGATTTCATACGGATTTCAATGTTGATTGTAACGAAAACAACGGCAATAAGAAGCTGAATTTGATTGCTCCTTTAAAAAACGAAAAAAGAGCACATTATGAAGTAAAATACTTTGGTAATAAGTCCGACATCTTAACAAGCATCAGAAAGCATAACCAAACATTAAACCTTCCTCCTAATATTCGTGAATTGTATTTCCATGACAACATGTATAAATTTGCCTTAAAGAAATTAGTTTTAGAGACAAAAGGAAAATTATCGCATCTTTACTTTCAAAATAACATTATTTATGAATTAGATGGGCCACTTTTTGGTATGAAAAGCGTAAAGCATGCCGATTTTTCAAATAACTTTTGTAGTTTTATTTCACAGGATTTCTTTGTTGACTTTACAAACGTTTTACATTTAAATCTCTCACACAACATCCTTGGTATATCATTACAAAGTGATATTGAAGGAAACATATTTAAAAATCAGAGAAAATTAAAAAATCTGGATTTATCCTTTAACAGAATTGTAGAACTTCCTTGCAATATCTTTAAAGGGGTACTTGGAATAAGATACTTAAATTTAAGTTCGAACTCAATGAATATTTTCAATATTACAATTCATCATTTATCGTCACTTCATCTGTTAGATCTCTCTTCAAACAAACTTTCCAGGTTGGATAAGGATACTCGAACAAGTTTAGACAGACTCTCAGCCCAAAAGGAAGTTTTCCTTAACTTACAAGGAAATCCTTTGCAATGTTCCTGTAGCAATATGGATTTTCTGGTTTGGATTGTTCAGTCAAAGAACATATTATTTCATAATCGGGATAAATACACCTGTTTGTTCCAGAATGCAACTCGACAAGAATTTGGAAACTTTTCACGACTTATGGAACAGCTAGAAAAAGAATGTTCGTCCTATTCATTGATAATTACCGTTAGTTCGTCCCTGTTGTTTATAATTGTTACCATCATCATGAGTCGAATCATACATAGATACAGATGGAAGCTCCGTTATATGTATTTTGTCGTAAAGGGAAGAAGCAGAAATCAAAAATCTTCCAGAGATCAAATAAGCCAATCAAAATACCATTTTGATGCTTTCATTTCATATGCTAATAACGACTCTGCATTCGCCATTAGTCTTGTGAAATATATGGAAGAAAACCACGGGCTTCAATTATGTCTTCATCAAAGGGATTTTATACCAGGAACGGATATTGCAGACAATATAACAAACGCTATCCACATTAGCAAACGAACAATTTGCATACTGACTTCACATTACCTTAAGTCTTATTGGTGCAATTACGAAATGAATATGGCGCGAATGGAAGCTGTGTATTCAAGAAAGAGTGCCGATGTTCTTTTCTTCGTCATTCTTCAGAAAAGTGTCGTGAAAGAGTTGCCATGGAAATGGATGGACCTTTTAGAGAGAAAATCTTACATGTATTTTCCAGCTGAAGACGGAAAGGATGTTCCAGTTTTTCGAACCAAGCTTGCAGAAACTCTTCTGATGGAAGAATATTGATTTGATTTTGAACTTTGACGAATATATATAATACTTTGATGGACAGTTGATACAAGCACAATTTTGTTGAAAAATCTTGAAAATAACAGTTAAAGTCATTTTCAGTAAAGTTAAATGGTTAATTTTAGTCTCACAGTAATGGAAGGTGAAGTAAAAAAAAGTATAGATAAATAAGGATAGTTACAGAAAGAAAAAAAATAAATATCATAGGAAGTAGTAGTATATAATTTCTTTACATTTTTTATTATTCGCGTCATTTCAAAGTAAAATGGGTCCAAAATGTATACTAATCCAGGCACACAATTTTAGCTCTACTGGTCAGAGACTGGAAGAGCTTATGCGATAGTAATGCGTCCGGCGTCCTTCCGTCCGTGTGTCTGTCTGTAAACAATTTTTCAAAATGCTACTCCTCCTTCAGATTTGGTCCGATTTCAATATAACTTGGCGCAAAAGTAGACTACACTAAGATACATAATTCTGTGCATCGGTTTTTGATTTCGATGAACAGTGTTGCCATGGTTACTAAAAATAGAAAATTCTTTGAAATTCTTTCCAAATGCTACTCCTCCTACAGTTTTGGTCCGATTTCAATATAACTTGGCACACAAGTAGACTACACTAAGATACATATGCCCTGTTCACACGACGAGTTTAATTCGCAGTAAATTAATGCGAAGTAAACTAATGCGAATCAAATTAATGCGAATTAAATTGCGTTCACACGACAGCTAATGCGAAGTAAACTAATGCGAATTAAAAATTTTCTTCTACAGGCAGGCGTCAGTAAGTCTATTATGACGTCATTTGTAAATCACATCATGTATGCAGAGCCATCCTTTGATACATCATGTAGTGGCTGCGGTATTCATTGATTTTAGTGATTAACATACTTTCCTTCAATTTTTGAACCAAATATAACACAAATACCTATATATAACCACCAACACGTGTCCTTTGTCTTAATTCTGGCCTTACGCATGCGTCAAAATTTAATTCGAATTAGCTTCGCTTGGCGTTCACACGGAGCTAATGCGAAGTAATTTAATGCGCAGTAAATTAATTCGAATTAAACTAATTCGCATTAAATTCTCCGTGTGAACGCAAAGCGAAGCTAATTCGCAGTAACTTTACGTTTAATTCGAATTAAACTCTCCGTGTGAACAGGGCAATAGTTCTCTGCATCGGTTTTTGCTTTGATGAGTGGCAAGGATCATTTTTCTATTTATTGCTGTTTTAAAGTTTCAAGTCGCAACTGCTACTTTTCTCTTCCTTTGTTTTAAGTATAAACCAGTAGAGCTACAATCTCGACAGAGACTTCTGGTTTTATGTTTGTATCATCTGTCCTTAATTGGATGTGAAATTTGTATTATAAATATTTGAACACAATTTGTTCTTTTAAAGACTATTAAAAAAATTAATATATGATAGAATAAACCAATGTTGATTTATTTTGTTTTATTATTCTTACATGCATCATCATTTGTGAAAGTTTTACATCGATAAATGGAAGTAAACTTTGAGGCAGGAATTCTGTACATGATGTTTATCGATGTTTTGAATGAATACTTTGTGTTTAAAGGTATATCACAAAAACAAACCTTAAAAACCAAAATCATGAACCAATCATTTTATTAAGAGCAACATTTTTCTACGTAAGATTCGTTTTTTGCAGTTTTGAAGAAGTATTAGCTTTACATAAGAAATACTTATGATATTTTTATGGTACATGTATATTTTTAAATACGAATAAAACGCTAGTCACTTTTATCAAAAATCTATTTTCCCATTTTTCAATTTATTTCATTTTGCATTGATGATGATTGATCACATGCATATAGAATTAATGTGTACAAGTGGATAAGATACGCAAGAGCATGCTCTAAGAGCGATCAATGTTAGGTAGCTTATTAACCAACAAGAGGCCCACGGGCCTTATAGGTCACCTGAGTATTGTGCAACAACTTTCAAAGACTTAAATTCTGGTTCATGTTTTAAACTAGAGGCCATGAAATTCACAATTCACAATTTTGAAAGATCGAGGCACCGTTGCCTATCATAATTATACACTTAGCATGCTTACTCTATTTACTTAAATACCCAGAGGTAGACCAGAGTAACATGGAGAAAATGCACTTCCACTTTATACCCAGTTGTGCACCTCACCCCAAAGGAACCACCCAGGGAATACATATTTCTAAATTCTGCAAATTGTATCATAAAATGCTTGATTAATACCAAAAAGCAGATTTCAAAGCATTAATTCCCAGAAGCACAGGAGATTTTTCAAAGAATTAATGCATTTTCACTATATAATCAATAGAGCCCCGCCTTAATACCTGAACCACTAACCCTGGGGCCATAAAATTCACAATTTTGGAAGACTATTGCTTAGTTTGTTTATTGGCTACCATCATCAGTTATCAATGTTCTCTATCTGATTCCAACCTTGAACTTGGAAGAAATAAAACGCATGTTTTTGCAAGAAACACGTACATTATTTGATTGAAAACGTAAAGTCAATCATTTAAACTGATCGAACTTCTGATGTTTAAAAGTCAATGTTTGCTCTACTCCAAAATTTGTATTGATTACCTGTGCTTAATTGCTATGAGTGATAATGCTGTGGGTACTATGGCTAAATACCTGACTAAATTATGGATCAAAGTATTAACTCTAGCTTGTTTACATCTTTTTCTGGACTTTCTCAATCATTTAGTGAAACTGGAATTATCACACCTAATGGAGTGAGTATACCAAGTTTTTTGAATGTGACTTTTAACAAATACAGCATAACTGTATCGTTTCAACAAGACAAATATGCCACTATTTTGAACTATTTGGAAAAAGAACTTAATGCAATTAAAGAAGTAGGGAAGAATGGCCAGATTTTCAAGTCTGAGTGCAATACTGTGACAGCCACACTCTATTCTGGCACCAGCGTCCTGCACATTCAAGGATCGTCGGCAAACTCGTGGCTGGACAAATTCCTTAATGACATAAGAAACAAAACCTCTAACAGCATTAGTAGTATGTTGGGACAATCTATTCCACAAATGTCATCAACCCCTGTAAAATATGATTCTCTATTGACAGCCAGTACTGATAATGCTCTAAATTGTACACAGTGTGCAGGTACAATACAAGCCCTACAATCGGCTGTCCGTGAGTTAGCGCAAGAAATACAGGAATTAAAAGAGAAACTCAGATGCAAGACCAACCCCACATTGTTGGACAAAAACACACAGACACTTTTTAAGGTGGTGAAAAACAAGGAAACAGATGTGCAGGGTTTGAATTCTTTCCCACAAAATTCAGCATCTCGACACACACAGTGTGATCTTACAACCCCTGACAAGGAAACAAAATATACATCAGATTCGGGTACAAACACGGAACCATGTATCAACTCCACACCTACAAGTACACCTGAAAGATCCTTTAAACAAAAGAAAACTTCTGGTGAGGCCAAACTTATTATAGGCAGCTCTATATTACAAAGGGTGAGAACCAGGGGACTACAACAAGGTGTCCATGTGAGAACCAACAGAGGGGCCAAGCTTTCCGGAATCAAGTCAAAATTACATCAAACCGCTGTTGAAGATTACTCTCACATAATTGTCCACGCCGGAGGAAATGATGCCTCATCTCGTAGAGAAATAGATCACGTAGAACATGACGCTGTAGAAATAATCAAAAACATCAAGGATCGATCTCCAACTACCAAAGTTTATTTCTCAGAAGTTTTACCGAGACGGGACGTAGATGTTTCGTATGTGAATAACACGCTAAGATATGTTTGTGACGAGTATGGAGGTTTGTTCATTTCTAATAAGAGTGTTTTCAAAGAGGTCAACAACGTGCATTATTGGAAAGACGGGATACACCTTTCCGATAAGGGAACGTCAGCGCTACTTAAACAGATGGACAACGAAGTTCCGATTTTACGTGGCAAGGGAGCATTATTAAGGGACAACGGAAATTTCAGCTTTAGCCAGTCCGTAACGTGTTACTTCTGTGGTGAGCATGGACATACCTCACGCCACTGTAGGCATGGCCGAAAACTAGACTGTTGGAACTGCGGAGAACTAGGCCACAAGACCAAATTCTGTGTGTATTAGGTATTAGGCAAGGAATGTATAGCCGTTCACGACAATACTAAATCTACATTAAATTTAAATAGATATTCTATTCTAGGCGCTGTATGTACTGAATGTAACGATTTTCAATGTTCTTGTTTAAATCAAACTAATAATTTAGTTTATAATACCTCTGTTAAATCTGAATTGCCCAGAAAACCATATATTAAGAATAAGACTCTCTCGGACAAAGTGAAAACTTCTCTCAATGACGAGAGCTCAATTATACAACCTGCTAACATTACTCCTTTTATGATAAACTCATTCAAATCTGTTTCACAAACAAAAAATCAAGCTCCTATGACCAATAACCAAATTCATACTTCACAAATACAAAAAGATTCAGGATTTGGATTGATTAAGAAAGGTTTACGTTTCGGAAATTTAAATATTTGTCATATTATTCCTAAAATAGATGAAATTAAACTGTTGCTTCAAACACGGCAATCTTTAGATATTTTAGGATTGTGTGAAACTTTTTTGAGTGAGCAAGTAGGGAATTCAGAACTGTTTATTGATGGGTTTGTTTTTGAAAGAAAGGACCGTACATTAAGGGCAGGTGGTGGAATTCTTATTTATATTTCAAGTGATATCACATATAAACGTAGAACTGATTTTGAGATCAGTAATATTGAGACAATCTGGCTAGAGATAAATCTAAAAAATTCAAAACCTATATTCTATTGCTCTGCTTATCGTCCACCATCTGCCCCCTCCTGCTGGGCGGAGGACCTGGCAAGGGAGGTGAACCGTGCCTCCTGCTGTGACGACACTGAAATAATTCTATCAGGTGATTTCAATATTGACTTAATGAAAGACCCCCCCCACAATACTGGACATCTGCTTTAGAGGAGTTTGGACTTT